CACACATTTCTGAAGAAGCAGAGTGGGATTTTCTGGCACAACTGCACCAACTAACAATGTGCATGAAGAGTGAAGACTTGAAGAGGTCAAAATGCTCCAGCAACAATTGTAGTATGAAGATCAACTTTATTAACAAATTAGATCGACGCATTTCTGCTTGTGGCCTTCATACATCAGGGTCATCAGATGACCCTGCTTTTTTTTTTTTTTTAGATGACCCTGATGAAGGCCACAAGCCGAAACACGTCAGTCTAATTTGTTAATAAAGTTGATCTACATACTACAAGTGTTGCATTTGAAATAATGACATAGCAGAAAAATCTGAACACGGGAAACCAATAATAAGATCCTTGTTTTTGTACCGTGTTAGAAACCCTGTGACTCTGATGGCAGTTACTGTTAGTGTTAACATTCATAGCAGCAGACAGCATCGTGCATGTTCTGGTTTCAGCTCTAAAATCTTAAAAATCTTTGAAAATTGAGCTTCTTAATGTACTAAATTGAAACAGTTCAATATGATTTTGTGTACTAAAAAAGACAATAATATAAATAAATAATTTTACAAGACTGGAGGAAATACTATGTTACATTAGAAGGAGACATTGTACATAATTATTCAAAAGCACAACGATGAACATCTAAGAATCTAAAGTACAGTGGTATAACAATCAAACAGCAAAGAGAAAACTATTTCTGTGTCTCAGTACACAGTTGTCTTTCAAAGACTTAACAGTAGAGGGGGCTGTAGGCTCATACAAAAGGTTGGAGTGTAAAAGTAAACTTCTACTACTAAATAATACAATGAACTCACTTGAAAGGTCCCTTTAGGAAATTGCTTCTTAGCCCAAACATTTAACATCTCCCCATACTTAATGTTGCCAAAATTGCTGCAAGATCAAACCAAGAAATGTTTAGTTAAATATATAAATAATAATATAAATATTTATTCATATATATATATATATACATATTTATATTTATCTTTTATATGAATCTAAATTAAAGTAATAAATGCTTAAGAACTTATTTTTAGGTACTACATTAGACACAAGTGGCCCACTGTTTTCAGAGAGTTTAAATAAAGAAATCAAACATACTTGGGGAGTATTCAGTGCAATAAAGCACAATTCATCTGGGACACCATAGTCGAAAGCACAGCTCTGACTCTTGGCATAAACCTGGAAAGCATCACTCACCAGGATTTTGGCCTTTCCTTGCTCTTCATGGACTTTTCCTTTCTCCAGGATGAGGGCAGGGGTCAGCTCATCCAGGCCTGTGGTTCTCACTGTCTCTCTCTCCCTCTGGGCCAGTTGGGCCAACTGTTCTTCCACCAGGGCCTGCTGACGCTCAAAGCTGAGGGGGGGAGGAAACAACTGTTTTAATCTTTAACTTTTATTTATCCAATGCAAGTTGGCTTATCATGAATGTTCTTGTTAACACAGAAAACTAGCAATATTGATTTTGGTTAATCAGCAACAGTATTAAGATTCATTTGAAAACCAATAGGACTAAAAAATGTATTTTATAAATAAAATTGTTTAGTTAGGAGCAGAAATTCCAAAGAGACCATTTAGGCCCTCAGACATTAAAACTGTTGACAGAAAGTAAAAGGCAGTTATACGTTACAATTCAATGATATTGTAGTATGTTACGTCTGTATGTGAGGTAATAAAACACTGTTTAGATTGTGGCTAGACAAGCTGGACTTGCCAGTGTATAACATTTGAGAGGCTCGGGATAGTATAGGAGCATGTCAGCAGCATAGCAGCATGCCTGTTACAGTATGTAGCACAGGCAGTGTTGACAGGCCACTCAATCTGTATAGGCTCAACATAAACATTACATATCAGCATCAAGTGTCCGGCATTTGCACTGGATATTTAATGTATGTGTCAACATAAATGTCTCAAGCTAAGTGTATATAAATATACAGCTCAAATATTCTGCACAATAAAACAGGTGTCAGATTCCGAGCATGAAATACTAATAAACCATAATAAATAACATAAACATGTATATGTATAACCTCCTCTTCTCAAAATATGACTGGATAACAACCTAAAGGCACAATGACCTTGGCTTTATGGCGACATACTTTTTGCGTATTTCTTCCTGGATTTCTGTAGTGGAGGGTCCTGACAGTTTGGAAGCTGAAAATTAGATGGGATTTACATCAATACACTGCAATATGGATCAGTTTGAAAAACAGAGAAGCAAAACCCACAATTTGTTACCAGAATATAAAGGGTTAAAATCCTGCCAAATAGTGTTCCTTATATGACCTCTGTATTACATAGTTATCTGATCTACAATAACTAACAGAGGACCCTCTTTAACCCTTTGCCTAAGCAAATGTCAGAGTTTATGTTTACTCTATTCTATCCTGTATATACCGCAAGAAAAAAAATCACACAGCAATTGAGGGTTTTTTTCTCATGTTGTTCTAATTCGTCACGATATGATGACACTACACCCCTCCAAAGGGAGCTCTGTGAGAAAGGAGAGGTCTTTGACATGAACTTACTTGCTGCTGGTTTCTGACTATCTGCTGGGGGTGGCTTTCCGCTGTCAGACCCCTGAGACTCTCTCATCCGCCGAAGCACTTCATCTGAAAGCTGGAAAGCAATGTGAGAATTAAGAAAACTGTGCATATAAACATTTAAAAGCTCCTTGATGTTTATGCAGGAGTCAGGACTCATATGTCTTGGAAAACTGCAGGACAAGAAATGTGCAAAAGAGATTATGAACATGTAACCAGCAGCTACTTGTGTACCAGTTCCAGTGAGTTCCAGTAAAACTCTCTGGCCTTCCTTAGTACTAAGATAGACAAACTATCTGCCTTCATGCTCAACTCATGAACAGGTGATTCATGTACTTTGCCTCTGGAAAATTTGCAGATTCACTGGGTCATAGTTCTGTGCGGATAAAACAAATATTTCATATTTTCATTTCATTTCATATTTGATTTATTTGCTCATTTCAGTGTTTGGTTTCAACACCATAATCACAACCAAAAAGTATTTTCTCATAATGCTGAAACACTGTTCATGAGCAAACAGGAGCAGGAAGAAGAAAACTTATAATACCTGCCCCTTTCCTAATAACACAAGATACTGTTTAACAGAATAAGATGGCTAACCTGTTGTTTTCTCTTTCTTTCACAAAAAAAAAATAAATCAACAATATAGAAACAATCAAATACAATCAGTTAGATTAACTCAATACATTCATCATTTCCCAGAACCTTTTTCTTTATACATTCTTTTAAATTGAATGATACTTGAGCAGCATTTTAAATGATTATCGAGAGAATTCCATAATTTAACTCCATTTACTGAAATACACATTTGTTTTAATGTAGTGCGTGCAAATGGCTTTTAAAATTAAATCTCGGGATAGGATAGGACAATACTTTATTGATCCCCAGAGGGGAAATTCGGGCGTTGCAGCAGCACATACAAGAAAGCTCAAAATACACATTAAACAGATTATATAAGATAAATAAAAATAAAATCAGGGGGCATATACAAGTACAAAATGAATGATGAAGTTAACTATGCAGGGAACTGAGACAGTATTTGCAGAGAATGACAAGATAAAGTGACAAGTGATGATTAAAGTGACTTGGTATGATAAATAGCAGCAAGTAAACAGCAGAGAAGAGAGGCAGTGTTGTACCACAGTAATGCAGAGTGCAGTTATATAATATAATGTAATAATATAGTGCAATATGAACAATATAGTGTAATATAATGAAATGTTATATAATATAGGCTAATATAATAATATAATAAAATATATAGAATGTAAAGTACATATGTATATATATATATATATATTGATGCGAAATAATAATAATAATAATGATACAATAATACAATGTTAGTAAATAAGATCCGTCTATGATCCTCCTCATTAAATGTGAACACAAACAACTTCCGTACATTTTCTGTACAATAGACTGTGTAGTCTTTGGTTTGAAACTGAAAGTGTTTTTCTGACGTATGACGTCGCATTTTAATTTACAGTAGACTGACGTTATAGTAATATTAATAAAGTCATGATGGATAATAGAAAATATTTACGTTACGTTGTAGACATACAGCATTTAAAGTTAAACTGCTGAATGACTCCCGGTTTGATTGGCATTTGACCAACAACTAGAGGTCGTGAATTATCTCTTTAGAAGGACTGGAGGTTAAGATAGCGTACTGGTACCACTAACCTTAAAGCATGTGACCCTGTCCGGGCATGGGGGGGGGGGGGGGGGCATGACAGGAGTCATTTGAGGACATGGGACCTGTCAGCCTTCACACAGCAGCACACACACACCTCCTAGCTAACCGATATTAGCTTTGCTGGTTATACCCTCACAGAGAATAATATTCAAACTTTGGCTCTGAATTTTTCTCTTTTAAAGAAAGGTTTTATATTTACCTTTACTCCGTCAATGACTGTGACCTTCTCGTCTTCGTCCAGTCCGAATGACACTTTCCTTGTCGTACTCCCATTGCCCCCCATGGTGAGCAGCCGTCTGTTCCCACCTGGATAAAACCAATAATGAACACCCCGCCTGCTGCTGGGACAGGGTGTCACAGGGTGTCACAGGGTGTCACACAGATGAGACCGCGGCTAAAGGCGCTGAAAACACTTCAATAAAGGTCATTCTGGCGCTGCAGTATCCTCCCTGCTCATTCGTCGGATGAAATAATTCAGAACCAATGACTCGCACTCGTGTGCGATCTGAAATGGACCAAGGGTACATGGGAATTGTAGTTATATTGCAGTTTGACTCAAGAGAAGATTGACTGTAATACCTTTTCGTTAACAAACCAAATTGAATTAAATAAAGGACAAACAGTCAGTATAATCAAGATATGAGAAAAACATATGCAGGGAAAGGCAATTTTCCTCAATGTAGTTGCCAAGACTATCCACAGAGTGGAGTCATATACTAAATTTGACTCCAACTAAAAGAGAGGTACATAAACCGGCCAACATGAAGGAGTCCATGGTTTATTTTGTTGGTCATGGAATGATCAATACATTCACGAATATGGGCTGAACATTACACAATCAATGCACTTAAATAAAAAGGCAAATTACAGATTGTTTGTGAAATTATCATTTTTTTTAAATCAGACACCTCTTGTGTATCAAGAGAGAGGATGCACCTTGCCAAGTCGTGTCATGTGAAGGCAAACTGATCTCCAAATCACTATTCTAACTCTATTCACCAGCATTAAAATTTGAATAGAAAATATTTCTGATTCAAACACACGCCGTTATTTCTTGGAAATACACAACTTTGTTTCTGTAGGTCTATGAGAAAATAAATCATTTCTGCATACAGGTCATCTCTGTCTATGAATACTGCTAGCTTAGATACAGTACCGGTAATTCATTCACACCAAGCATACTGCATTTTTTAGAGAAACCCTTGCACACATCCTCTGTAGACATAAAGTAAATGAGATGTGAGGTGGTTTACAAAACACTTGAGTATGACATTGTAGAGTTAAGACAACAAAGATTACACAAGTTGAACAAAGGAGCAAACGAATCAGGTATCAAACTGATCAGAGTTCAACATTTGGTCTTTAGCGGTCTTGCAGGTTTGTCTTAATTTCTAAAATGATGATGAAGCCTTACCAATTTTTAACACAGCCCACCTTTCTTGCTCATAGGGGATTTCATCTTTATAATGCATTAATACCATCATGTGATAACATCAAATTTAGCAAAATTGTTCATGGTCTTATTTCACTTTTTGTACCAACATTTTGTGGAAAAACTGAAAACAGAAAAGAAAGGAAGGATGTTAACTGCAAAATTAAACTTAAACTTTAAACAGCAACACTTTTGCAGCAAGCAAAACTTTAGCAGCTACTCCGTAAAGAACAGAGTGCATGACATAATTAGAATACATAGAAAAGGTTTCTGCACATTTGGTGTCCCAATCACACTTCCTTATTGACTATGAATTCAATATAAGTTCAGTAGCAGGAATGATAGATCTGGTATTAGAATAATAAATTAAAGAGGAAAGAAATTACATATCGCGATTTTGATATTCTCTAAGCTAAAATCTAGGAAAGACCTCAAAATGGATTGTGATCTTTGACATGGATCCAATGCCTCTATAAGGGAGTTACTGACACATCGACCTAACACCCTCCACCTGCTCACAGCAGGCACAGCACCTATTTCAGAGGAAAAAAGTAAACCAACAAAAATGAATTAGTACTTGTCCTGTGTAAAGAGGCATAGTGATTCAGCAAAAAAATAAAAAGCAGAGTCACATTTGTAATTCAAGGCAGCAGTCTATTAGGTCAGTTGAGATGCTATTTCTCAAAGCTTTGGTAGGAATGTTTGATTTTATTGATGTGGTGTTCTTAAACCACGGTTAAACTTCATCATTGAGGATTATGCAGTTGATGTGTAATGCTGGAATGACAGAAAATGTGCGGGGAGGAGTTGGAAAGCTCCAACATTTAAGAGTGACAGAATTAATACGGAGTCTGTCGCAGCCGCAGTGCGAGGACAGCACTCATAGATTGGAGTTACAGCAGCACTGCACTCTGCCAACAGTGTTACAAAAGTTTTGCTATATTCATAATCCTCCACATAACTGGCAAGCAAAGGTCCCTCCTTAAGTTTCCACTTTTCCTGGTTTCAAAGCAAAGCCAAGAGTAACCCTTTACTGGTGTCCCACAACTTTGTTCTGCATTTTTATGGCCGACTCCTTTGAAGGCCAACCTACACAACCTTGTAAGTCCAGCTGTAAGTCCCTCCCTTTCTTTTTTAATGATTCACACATTGATAGGTCTCCAGCGGTCTGCTTCAATGCTGTTGATGCTGCTGGATCCATAGGGTCCGGAGGCCACATCATCCAGGTAAGCTCCAACCACACGAGAGCTGCCTGGACCAGAGCCGTCGATCTGGGTGGAGGAGTAGTACAGACCCTGGTCAAGCAGCTCCTTACGGCCGATGGATGCAGCGACGGTTGGGGGAAGGTGGACGTCGCTTTCATCCGGCTCATCCATCTGTGACTTGTAGGAGAAGAGGATCTTGGGCTCGGAGCTGTGGAAAAGGAGAAAAGTATAGAAAAAAAGGACTGGAAATACGCTGTGTATGTTTGTATGATTCTTTATACATACCCAAAGAAGCCTTTGAGGAATGTGACATAAATGAGCGGCGCAAAGGCAGAGAAGTAGAGGAAGGTGGTGACATCAACACAGCTGACAAAGGAAATATGAAACAGACGTGTCAGACAGCATCAATGGAGCTGTAAAACAGAGTTCTGCTAAACAGACAATTCAATCCAAAAGTAAAACATCTGTTATATGTTGTCATCCTCTTGCCTTAACTCAAAAAAACTTTACTGGACCCGCCAAAATAGCGAGTCATCCCCCTTGTTGCTGCTGAGCCAAATATTTAATAAGATGGTTAATAAGCAGCCACAAAGCTCCATTTCCAGGATATAAACAATAAAAAACAAAAAACAAATTCAAAAACAACATGAAGAATTGCTCTGAACCCAAAAATCAGTACAACAATGTTTCTTCCTCGAACATTTATTCAGCATCATATTCAATAGGGTTGTACTAACCAGAGTCCCTCTATGATTCCAGCACACAGCAGGGAGCTGCCAAGGCCCTGGACCAGGTTCAGTGTAGACAGGATGGCAGCGTACACATAGAAACTCCTCTTGGCTAGATGAGGGTAGCAAAACCAACAAAAACAGAGAACAAGTGCTTTGGTATGTAGTGGTAAAAAGCACATTAACACATTTCCCAAGAATCATGTTTAACTCTCTTCAAATCTTTTTTTTATAACTTACATGGAAGAGATATCCTCTCCCTCACTGGAGTTTTAGGCAAGATGACAATCAAAGAATAAACCTAAAGAAAAATGAAACATTCAGCATTAGTAGTCAAGTCATTTATCAAGTATGTTAATCCACATGATGCTGCACTGACACACGTCACTGACCAGGAAGAAGAAGCAAGAGCTGGCCAACCAGAAGTGCCGTCCTCCGTGACCGTAGATGTTGAAGTCTTCAGCAGACAGGTGACTGTCTGGGTACAAGATCTCAAGTGTGCCCTGGAATTATTGACCATTTATTGCATGCGGCATGAAAGAAATACCTTAATTATCTGGCTTTGGGATGTTCAGTGAGGTCTTTCACATTGTTTGTCGTTTCATTATATTTCTTTACCTGAGTGATGGAGTAGCCCAGAGCTAGAACAGCGGTAATAGCCAACACACGCTTTATACTGGATTTGCTCTCCAGGTGACCTGATCAATGAATGAAGAAAGAGGCTTAACACACTAGCAGACACAGAAAAATGTACAACTGTTCAGTTACATTCACTGGATTCATGGAAGAAGAGAAAATAAATGATGGGAAGATTTGCAACAGATGTGTCAGGTGGAAAGTGACATCACACATGAAGTAAATAAGAACTGAAACAGGAAGAACAAACTAACCGAAAGCCAGACCCAAGATGATGACACTGAGCTCAATGGCCAGCAAGAAGAAGCGGGTAATTTCCCACAGCACCTAAAGAGACAAAAAAAAGTATCATGAGAATCCACGTTGTTCCAAGCTGTTTCATGACATATATTGATCCAGAACATATACAGGTCAGGTCACACTCAAAGCATTACATAATCACTGATGTTTTATCTTTTGAGCAGTGCAGTGCGCTATGGGAACAGTGGGTTCATTAGTGATAACTCCACAGGGTTCAGTCTGGTATGTGAGGAATGTCAGCCATGCCTTTCCTTTTAGACAACAAAGTCATGCTGAAGCTCATATGTGATTGTGACTGGATGTCGCGTCATGGTTATTTCTGTATGTAGTTATGCTAGAAAGCTCCAATCTATCAGAGATCTACCTGTAGTTAACAATACTAAATTACACTGTCAATCCAAGAAACAGTAACTGTTTTGAACCAGCAGTTTCTTCCTGTCAGGACATTATTCTTTGTAGTTTAAGGGAAACATCAGTGTCATGTGATAAGTACAGCTCACAATATCTTTCTAGTTCCAGACAGTGACAAGTAGTTCTTATAGAAATACAAATAATTAATCAGTGCATGAAAATAAGATAAAATGTATTAATATGCAGTTACATGGAAAAAAAAGGTGGAACCAGTACCCTTAATGACTAGCTTTATTCCAATTTATGACGTATTTTCCCAAGTCAAACTTGTAGATTGATATCAAATTATTTTGTTCTTAAAAACATTAATAACTTCCTGTTGAGCAGATGGAAATATCATGATTTTCCATTTTGCTAGTTGTGGGACTACCTATTACCGGTTGTTACATTTGCATTTCATAATATTGAAATATAATAATTGAATGTACATACACATTAATGCAAGTTTATAAATGTTGATGTGTTTCCTTACTTTGTCTATGATGGTGGCAGCACTGGATGCACTGACGGTCATTGACACTACAGCCCGAGTGATTCCAACTGCTGCTACAACAAAAACCTAACAAAAAAACACAGCTTGTGTAAGTCTTCTTGACACAATGAAAACATTTCCTTTAGTGGGATGAGGGGGAATTTATCGCCAAAAGTAACGATGCAGAGCCAAACAATCTACAGATTTCCTTTATAGCCTTCTCAGCTGACATATCCTCTATGTGAGCCTTTGTTGTTATCTTACTATCAATGGAATGGTAACATCAAGTTTCAAATAAAGCCCACTTTAGTTCACTGTCCCTTGACCCTGTTGGGGTTCATTGCCACACAGGAATCTCCTGCAGCTGTAAAACTTCCACCGTGTTTGTCAGTGCAGAGGTAGATTATGTTGATCCTATGTGATAGGCTGATATATTTTTATAACATTCATTTGCAGTAGAACAATGTGAAGCATTAACAGCACAACTTTAGATACTGTATATTTGTGTTTGTGTAGTTTGCATCCTACCAGCAAGTAAAAGGTGACAAAGATGGGGCTGGAGGTGAGTCGAATCTTGGCCCTGGCTGAGGGCAGCTTCCACATCAGGAATACAAGGAAGGCCACATTAGGCACAAGAAGGAAAATGTCCCAGAACCGCACTCTTAAGACAGAGAGATAAATGTGAAGAGGACAATTCAGAGTTTTCAAAAAACTTGTATCGGCTGAAGACCCAGCACATCTACAGTTTTGTTTGTTATTCACTTTTGAACAGTAAGTAGTTCCATTTTGTATTTCTGGCACTTTCTCACACATGTTCACTACCCAGTCGTTTTTACAAACTCGTTCAATCTTTATCAATCAATCAATATTTGTATGGCACCAATTTATAACAAATCTAATCTAAAAACACTTCACAAAAACAGCAGGTGTAGATAGAGGGCGAGAGACAGACAGACAGACGGAGACAAAACAAACAGAGCAATAACAACAACAACAACAACAACAACAACAACAACAACAACAACAACAACAACAACAACAGCAAAAATCAATAAAACAGACTTTTTAACTACAATGCCTGTAATAATGGTAAAGAATGTATGCAGGAACAACGAAACATGATATTTAACTGATCAGTCTGATAGACATTAACAACTATAATAGCGATTCAATGGGGAGGACTGATATTGTTAATTATAGCAGTTGAAGTCGAGCAGCTCTTAGATTCACATTAACAATTATAATGTTGATAACTGATCGTTCATGTTTTTCAACCAAATACCTGGAGTTTCCAGCGTCCTCATACAAAACTTGAAGACATTTATGAGGCTTGCTGATGTTGCTTTCGTAATCAGGTTGCCAGGTTGGGAACGCTGATATGTTCTCCAGCGGTGAGGGAGTAACACTGCCATTGTATTGAGCAAACCTAACCACAGCAGTCACTGTGGCTAGCATGGTGTCAGACACTGTTGGGAAAAAATCTGATTATCTCAGGCATTAACTGTAATATTATTCACATAAGCTGAGGTAAAACATATTTTCTCATCAAAGAGCTTCCTCTTTTAAGGGGAAAGTTCTTTATAGAGGTTTAAGACGAGAACGAAGAGTTTATACAAGTGACTTTTGTACCAAGCAGGCACTAGGAACACAGCTTTCTGTGTTAAACATTATGTAATGAGCTTAGCTGTGATATAGTGGTTAAAGTGCTCCAGCTTCAAACAGTGAAACTAAAATAATCCTGTTAGCTTTAAGTTCCTACTCGAGAGTTTCAAGAACTGTCAAGACACAGCAAGTTACCTTTCTTTACAAAACAACTTTTCTTCTTAATGTCTTTTCTTACTGGTTTTACTATTTTTATCTTCTTTTACTTCTTACTGTCCTTTTATTTATGCTCTTATCTTAACTCCTCTTATGTTTTAACTTGGTAATTTCTTATCTTACTTCCTTTGTCTATTATGTTTTATATTTACTTTTACTTTTTATTAATATTATAGTTGTTTTTTTTAATCCTTTAACCACTTGTTTCTATTTCTTTTCCTGCTCTTACCTTCTTATTGCTGTTCTCTTTTGATTTGCTTTTATCTCTTTTAGTCTCTTAAATCTTTTTAAATCTTTGGTTCCTCTTGGTCTCAGCTCGTGTTGTTGGGTTCTTGTGTTGTCTGGGTTCTTATGATGGTTCTTGTGTTGTCTGGGTTCTTATGATGGTTCTTGTGATGGTTCTTATGATGGTTCTTGTGTTGTCTGGGTTCTTATGATGGTTCTTATGATGGTTCTTATGATGGTTCTTGTGTTGTCTGGGTTCTTATGATGGTTCTTGTGTTGTCTGGGTTCTTATGATGGTTCTTATGATGGTTCTTGTGTTGTCTGGGTTCTTATGATGGTTCTTGTGTTGTCTGGGTTCTTATGATGGTTCTTATGATGGTTCTTGTGTTGTCTGGGTTCTTATGATGGTTCTTATGATGGTTCTTATGATGGTTCTTGTGTGGTCTGGGTTCTTATAATGGTTCTTGTGATGGTTCTTATAATGGTTCTTGTGATGGTCAGGTTATATATGTCTGTTGGGTATCGTGCACTTTGGGTTATTTTCTGTTGAACTGTATTTAATTATTTTTAGTATTTTGCATTTATGTTCTTGCTGTTGTTTCTGTTCTTCTGTGTTTGGTTTAGTTTGTTCTTGTTTGTCAAAGCACTTTGTAAACCTGTGTTTTTAAAGGTGATATATAAATAAAGTTATTATTGTTATTATTATAAGAGACAAGTAAAATGACAAAAACAAAGAGCAACACTAAGACCGTTCTTACTGTAGTTAAGTTGATCACGTAAAGCTAATATCCATGTATCCAAACCTGAAAGTCTTTCTTCAGGTTTATCAGAGTCATATCACTTTCAGTTAGTGTAAGGGGAATTACAGATGCTAGCTAACAATGCTAGCGTTAATGAACCATAAAACTAGCAAGCTGCGGTCGGAGGATGTTATCTGTTCAATAAAGAATAACATCCACCGAGTCCCCATTGTAGAGTTACACAGAAAAAGTAGATTAATAATTGTAACTAGTGCTAGAGGATTTAGATGAAGTATCATTGTTTAAAGCTGACTGGTTTACGTTAGCATCATAACAAAACATGATACTAGTGCAAGTGTAATTACGCCAGCCTAAAGTGACATAACGAGAGATTTCCTGGTGAAAAAATAACAACTTACCGATTCAGTAGACCAGAATTCCAGAGAACATATGCTGTAGAATGTTTTAGAAAAGATATGACTTCAGCATTTGTTCCTCACATCAATAAATGGATCACTGAAACGGGACATCGCTGTACCCGACAGTTTCGTGAAGAATTCCCTGTGTAGTCAGCTGACACATCTCACCACACATGCGAACTCTCGCGAGAAGTCACCACACTTGCGAGAAGACAACGGGACGTATGTTTTTCTCCAAACTCCGGCCGGTGAAGGCTTTGGATAGATACGTAAAGCCCATGATATATCCCTCTTCTTGATGGCGATGCTTGTTTTCTTGTTGTATTTTTTTGTTTGTACATGTATTTGAATTAAGGAAACTGAAATACACAAGATAATTGACTGACATCTTTTAAATTATAAAACAATTAACAAACAGAAAACCTATAGGCCTACATCAAGGCTTCAAAAGCCTTTTTGGAAACTCCAGATTGTGAAAATATTTTCGTTGCTCCAAACAATACCTCTATACTCCAATTTTTTACAGCTTTTAAACTGATATTTTAGGTTATAACAACGAATAATTGAATAAACTATAATGGTGTTATGTTTCATTAAGCTTTCAAGAAACAACCTGATCAGCTCAGCAAATCATTCAGCTATGAGCTCCCGTTCTTTTGTCAGTATTAAAAATGGCTGTTTTGTTTGCAGTAGCGACTGAGATAAAGTTAATCCTCTGTGTGTGGAAAATAGACTGGTTCTCTTGCATGATCGCTTTCTTTTTCTTTTTGAGAAAAATCATGGACACATTGCACCTGGTAAGACTGAGAATGTATAACGAAGACTAAGGAAGTGTTTTTTAAGATCTTGACTATTATAGTAGTGTTTTTCAGGGTTAAGGACTAATGTGTAAGATGTAAAAGCTTGTTTTGTATAAATATTCCCTTCTTATTTCTTTTTTTTTAAAATGAGGAATGTGTACAACTTTGAACAGTTCAAAGAGAAACTCCTCAATACTTTGTGAAATAATGACTGCAGTAAGACAGAAAGTGATTTTATTTGATTTTTTTGTTTTCTTTCCTGAGCACTCATTAAGCATTACAGTGCATTACCAACAAAAATAAAAGAGGTAAAGGTGAGTTAAAAACTTTACAATTATTTCTTTAAGCTTTTTTCATGGGCACTATATTTCAGGTACACTGCAATTATGTCTATGTTTGACACACAACATTAAACTTTAAATTAACAAACACAACACAAATACACTCTTTCCTTTTATCATTTTTTTTTCTGCATGGCATTAATATATACATTTATTTATTTTTTCTTAATGCAAATAGTGTTATGAGTGAATAGTGACACGTGCTTTGGGACTCCCTGACATCATCCTGTAGGCCAGGAACACTGGTTCAGTCAGGTTGGCCTTAAATGTGTATATATGAGTTTTCCCGCTGATGGGGCTGACATTATAGAAGCTCAGTCTGTGCATCTTAAAACTCAGTCTGATCTCCAGCCTGCATGACACTGTGGTCCTCTTCAGCGGCACACTGTGACCCTGCTCAAAGGCTGTCAGCAGATTATTGAACCACATCAGACACCAGGAACTCCGGCTGCTCTCAAGAGCTGAGGGCAAACCAGTACGCTCTAACTTTCTGCTGTAGCACAGGCCTATGATCCACGGAGACCCCTCCAGCTCCACATCCCAGCAGTGCTCCCCTTCATGGAAGCTCTGGGTGCTGAGGACCTGTAAGAAGTTGGTAAACCTCTGAGGAGAAGGTGGGTAGGGCTGCTTTGCGGCGCTGAAAGTGACTGTCTTCAAGTCGTCCGAGAGGACTAGGTTTGGATGGGCTGTTTCGGCTTCAAAGGTCACCTCTGAAGGGTTGAGGGCGTTTCGAATGGAGCGCTCAATCTCTCTGAATCTTTCCCTCAGTTCAGTGTTCATGCTTTCCAGTTTGGGACAGGCTCGTGCCGCGTTGACTTTTGTGTCAATGTGGTCCACTTCTTCCTCCACGGGCTCAGCCATTAGCTCTGCAATGCGCGGCTGTAGAGTCTGAAGATCGCCACTGAATGCAGCCTCGTCCTCTTCGGTCAGGAGGGACTCTGCCATGAGCACAGCTTGTCTCAGCTGCTTAGTCAGCTCCGAAGCACGACTGACTCTGTGGCCTATACCTTCCTCACCTGGAGCTAGCTCTTTTTCTATCAGCTGCATCACCTGTGCGCTGTAACTCTGCGTCAGATCTTTCATCTGTTCTAAAAGTTTGGATGTTTTCTCTCTCAGCGTACTATTAGCAGCTGTCACCTCCAACTCTCGTTCCCTCTCTTTCTTCAGCAAACTCTCTGCCATTTCCAACTTCAAGCCCAAATCTGTGATTTGAGATGCAAGTCTGAATTTGGGTTCTTCCATTTCCATCTTGCCTTTGCGAGTGTCTTTCTCTTGGTGCGAAGAAAAGGGGAGCTCTTCGGATCCAGACCCGATTACTAAGTCATCCTTTTCCTTTGCGTCAGAGCTCTTCTCCTGGCTACCTCCAGCAGTCACTTTAGGGTGCGATTCTACTGTACCAGGCCTAGCATCACTCCTCGCCGCTTCAACATCAGAAGGGTCTGCATTTGGTTTGACTCTCCCAGCAGTGGCTTTGTAAGCTTCAACTAGGCTGCACATTTTGGAGCTTTTCGCAAGGGTGCTGGTTCCCTGGTACTCTACCTGGCACTCAGGGCAACTATGCTGGTCAAGACCTTCTCCCATGGTCTGGAGGCAAGCTAAGCAATAGGTGTGACCACAGGGAAGAGAAACTGGATCAAAGAAGAGCTCCAAGCAGATTGGGCATGTGACCTCCATGGCCATAGCTTCTGGATACATTTTGGAAAAGTTTTCCTCACTGAAAATAGAAATGACAGGGTAACACTTCCAATAAGTTGTTTGTTTTTTTAAAACATGAACTTTAACTTTAACGTATTTCTTGGCTGCTTAATTGTTTTTTGTAGGGTAAAGGACTTCAAATATAATCCCTAAAGTAGTATCTGGGATTTGGGCCATTAAATTAGGAAATATTCACTTTAAAATTGCTGTGGTTAATGTTTGATTTCCTTATCGATGTAAAATTGAATATTTAAAAAATACATACACAAACAAATGGGCTGCTGGCGTCATAATTAGTGGTCCTCAGTGGTAGCTGGATATAGCCCTGACAAACATAGTTCGTCGTGGTTATTGGCAAGTAACCAGCCCCAACATGACAGCACAGGAACAAGGAGACTACTGTATAAAGATAAGCTCGCAGCACTTCCTATAATAAGTTTACAAAAAAATAGGCCTAAATCAATAGTTTTGTGTTGTGATATGTAATGGAAATCCGATGGCCACGAGTGTGCAGAGCGAAGTCTAATGTTGATTACAAATGTTTCTGCGTCGTCATTGGGCAGTCTGTTTGTATTTAGTTGCTTAAGTTTCGATTTCCTTCCTGTGATCAGAATCTCCACCAGATATTCAGTGTGAGTGCCGCGGCCAAATGCTGATCAATTTGAGTCGTTCATCTTAATTTAAACACTTACATTGTTAGATTATTCGGCTCTAGGGATTGGTTTAATTTCTTAATCTGTCTTTGATTCCTTTTAAAGTAATAAGCCACATGTTGTTATCAAGGCGTGCTTACGGATCACTCACGCTTGGTGGCTAGTAGCAGGCGAAGTAGTCTATCTTTTATTAATCAGAAACAGATGAAGATATGACGCTCTTTTGTTAATAAGGAAACGGACTTACCCGTGACACTACAGCTGCCCTGTGTGAAGTCTTCCTGTTCAGGTGAGTCAATAACACGCACTGACGGAGACATCAGCACAGCCGCTTCACGCCTTCTATAAACATTACGCCTCTCCATGCCCACTCTGAGCCTGTACCTGCTTTAGTAGTTACAATCGAATCTTCGAAAATGGTTAAAAAGCATATTAATCGATCTCCTATTGAATAGCAAAAAAAAAGAAACTTAAATGCAGTTAGGAAAAAAACCATTAACGTATATTATAATTAAATATTGCTAACAATTAATGGTTTCAAAATACAACTGAAACACAATAAAAGGTTATTTTTAAAACGCATTTATATTTCTATATATTTGGTTTACAATCAAACAGTCAAATACTCAGCTCCAATTCATTTCATCACAGTTGGATATTGAAAGATATGCAAAATATAATAATAAATATATAACAGTCGCTATTGTACAAAGGCACAGTGGCATGGTAAACTGCTCAGTTTACAATTCACCAGAGTCAAGTCAGAGTCACTCTGACCCTCAGCTGTGTTTATGTAGTGTGCAACATTTTAAAACCTGAAAAGAATGTGAAATATGCATGTTGCAAATTCAAATTTTGAGATATGGTCAGATAAAACTACTTATTGCAGTCCACAGTTATTCAAAAAAAGTAATACTAAAGTCCCTTAACCCCTTTACAGTATCCACGTGCAGTACCACATCCCTACTGGGTCATACAGAAAGTTAAATTAAACACTTTAAATACATTTCACATCACATTTGCTCACTTGGTACAACACATGAAGCCAACCCAAGTCCAAATACATTCCCTGTTGTCTACATTAAGAAATTAATTGTACTTGTAATGATACTAGTGCTTGTACAAACCTGACATAAATAATATCAGGTTTGTCTAGTTGCTGTGTTAGTGGTTGAGCTTCAAGGACTGAACCAAAGATTTCGAGATAAAGTAAAAAAAAAAACATAAACAGGCAGTTGTTCCTGAATAGTTTTGTTATGTGCAGGATGAAGGTGTTTCTATTCATTTTCTTTTCAAATATGGCAGTTTGTACACCTGAAACCTGTGACAGGATTAAGATTATATACCAGTACACAGTTTAAATTCATATTTGGAATGTCTAGGAAACTTGTGCACACAATCAGAATACACTTTAAAGTTGTTTTAATCCATAGCTATTTCGTTTTTGTCATTTAAAAAATGTAGCATCGTGTATTTGGTCGTAGTCAATGTAAGAGTGCCCATTATGGTTTATACACTTCGTTTTGAAATGCTAAGTACATATTGTGTATCATTCCCTCCGTGAAAGACGGGACAGCTGCCTCTTTCTGTTTCAGTTTGTTCAGTTTCCCATGAACACACATGACAGATGGCAGGCAAAATTCAGGCATACTCAAGAAAATCTTTTGGAAAAGGAGACGACAAATGCGAGAGCACATGTTCCTGCCTATAAATGTGTGTGTGTGTGTGTGTGTGTGTGTGTGTGTGTGTGTGTGTGTGTTAGAAGTGTATGTTTATGTGTCTATAGTAGTGCATCCAGGTCCAGCTCCGGCAAAGCCTCCTTCCAATAAGAGAAGCTGCTGTACTCAGGGCAGTCCAGAGCGAAGGACATGCTGCCCTCCACAGACAGCATGGGGAAGAAATGTTCCACCAGCTCACTTAGATGGCTGTACCTGCAAAACACACACACACACACGAAAACTTAAGACACATGTGTTAGAGGTTGTAGGTTTGTAAAAGTGGGTTCTGTGACAGTCTAGTCATTTTAAAAGTTGTTTTGGAGTTTCCTACAAATAGTTGAGATTGTTCAGGCTGCATATGAACGATACTGATGAAACTGGATAAACTTCAGCACATCCATTTTTTGTTTGTTGCAAAATTACCAAACCCAGTGAAATTGAATGCAGTCAATTATTGTGTAAAGTCCATTACTTCTTAGTTGGGCACAAACACTCATATCAGTCATAGGTTCTTTTTTTTTATATGACAGAATTATCAAAGTCTTTAAGAGTTTTTTAAAGCTTAAAAAGAGATTGTTTCGATCTTTATTGTTTCACACTTACGAGGACTTGTTGCCTTTCGTTTTCTCCTGGATGAGCTCTCCTTTTGGGTTGACAGTAAATAATCTGGTGTCAGGCACCCCGACCTGCTTATAGGCATAAGCATCCTAAAAAAAAGAAAGGAAAAAATTGTCTCATTTACCTTTGTTTTATCTATGTACACTAAAAAGATTGTTCTTCTGTTACAGCAGTAATCCATGATCAATCATTAGCCAGTGTTTACTTATGAACTAGCAAACCCCAGACTTTACAGCAACATTTCCTACACTTACTTCTAACTACTGGAGTATATTCATTCATATTCATTCATTATGTTTATATGTTAATAGGACAAGGAAAAACACATTGGTATATTCTTATTTATTTTCTTAACAGTCCTTTGTGATCATGTGCAAACCCTGATGCAACATCACACCTGGAAACCTTGACTGAAAAAACATTTGTGTCTCTTTTCAGAGCCAGTTTTACAGCATTGCTTACATTAGTCCTGTTGCCAAAGGCTGCGTAGAAGGGCCGTCTCTGTGGGTTGAACAGGTCCCTGATGTCACCGAGGCAAGCGATCTTAAAAACCTCGGGCTTCTTCTCAATAACTTCTCTGCAAAGTTTAGAGTCAAAAGGGAAATCTGTTTTAAATGCTTGGCCCATGTCATACATTTACAGTTCTATTATTCACAAAGCAAAATAATTGAGCATTTTTGTGTTCAAGAAGTGTCCACTAGAGGTCAGCAGTACACTCCATTGATTTTCAAACTCCAAAGACATTTTCCCACAAACATTTTTTTATGTTTTTTGATGCTGAATTCTATTTATTATATTAATTATTTGTATAAAAGGAAACACAGTGAACTAATAGCATGTAATCAGTAGTTCAGTAGTAAGATTCCTTACCTGTGTAGAGCTGAAAAGAGGCTGCTGGGGGCCAACAGCACAGGGCCTTTGGGGAGGACAGTGCCTTGGTCATTAACCCACTGAAGGTAGTCCTTTGTGATGGCAGCCATGCCTATGGCCCTGGCTGAACAATACAGGAACTTATATCCATTTCTGCAAGGAAAGGGGGAACAACATTTCAGGTAACAAATTGATTCACAGAAAGAAAAACGTACAGAATTCTTCTGACAAGACATTTGTGCTGAGACGTGTTTTCTTGAAGTATTAGTGACAAAAGATTAGCACTTCAAATAAAATCTAATCTTTTTACAGTTAACTGAACAGCTGAACTAATTATAAAAGCCCAACTTAAGATATAAAGGCAAACATCTGGTAGAGCAGATTAGACAGACATCTGCAAAATCAGAATGACATCATCTGTGGGAGATAAATTGGATCTGTTTTGGCCTGTGAAATGTTCGTATTCCATGTGGAAGTTCAGTAAGGGCGGAAACAAAGGGAAAATAACAAACTAGATAAACACATTTCATGATGACTTTCTGTTGTTTAAAATGCTGGTAATATTTTTCTACACATACTGGTGTATTTTGTGGTAGAGTTTGGCGATGCCTTTGTGAGTCCAGTCTTTTCCAAACTGAGGTAGAATATGACCCAGAGCGTCAGACCTGCAGAAGACAAGACCCCTCATGAAACACATTGCTATTAAAGATGCACTATAGAGCAATCAGGAACTCTGCTTAACTAGCTTTATATCAGATTGTCTAATGTACAATATATGTCTGATTTACTTTGTGATGGTGCCGTCTATGTCTGATATGATGATGCGATCGTTCCAGTTCCACAGGTAGATGGCAGCCTCACAGCGACAGGTGCCTTGGTATTGTGTGGTCACACTGAAAACCACTTTGTTGGCTCCTTCACGCAGGTTCAAGTGTTCCTGGTTGTGAGAAAATGACATGATTAGATTAGCAAAGAGAAAACAAAAGCACAAGGACATGGTCATCCTCTACATACATTTCATAGCACTATACAATTCTTAATGTAGATGTATGAATATGTGAGCATGTGCTTCTCTTACTATCTGTTCAGAGGTCAGACGCAGTGATTTGCGGTACATCTGACTGATGCACTGAGTGGCGCTGAGGGTTTCTGTTGATAGGCTGACTGGAAGGGTTGCTTTTCTGCCGAGTCCAGCTACCTCATCACTGTCCACGTCATCCAATGTGGCTCTGGAGGAAAAGTGCACATTTAATTAACACACTATTATTCTTCCCTGTTACTGTGCCTCTATTCAAGGACATTAAATACTAACTCACTGACACCACAGACACTGACTGAAAATAAGAAAGCCTTCAACATGGCTCTAAGCAACCTCATTTAATGTGAAATGGACAGTTTAGACAAAGCTCTGGCACCCTCTGGTGGCAGTTGAGTATCCTACATGCTGAGACTTTGAATTGATTCAAAAGAATACCACGCTGCACATACTCAAAAAGTAAACGAAAGCTAGTGCGTATAGGTTCAGACAGACACATGAATATGTTTCTAGGGCTGCATTTGTTTTCTTTACTTTTTTCACTACCTAAGAATGTTAAGAAATTCAGATATCATTCAAGTGCTCACAAAATACTTCAATGGACACTTGGATGGAGCCAGTGGAAGTGAATGAGACCTTACATTACTCTGTCACTCCTGTGTGTGGCCTTATTCGACACTTGTGTTTTATATAATCATTGGGGCTACACACAAATAGCAAAAATTCTGTCCAATTATTTTTTTACATTTATGTGCATTATGAAAAACAATAAATTTAAAAAAAGGACAGGCAATCTTTGGATTAATCTTTCCAGCGATGCTTCTCAATGTCCTAAAGAACCCTCAAACATTAAAAGTAGAAAGACAACTGTTGAGCAGGAAGATCACATTCCAGCTGAAACATAACGTGTGAGGTTTTATAAGGCAGAGTTTCTGTGTTAATCACTGCTCAGTGAGATGACTTACTTTACTGAGGAAAATACACTGGCCAGTGGCTCATCTTGCTCCTCTTTTGAGATCTTCTGCTGAAAAACAAGGTTACATCTTCAGGTATATTCTCACAAGATACAGTAGCAATGATGTTTTTTTATTACAAACAGAACTTGTTTTTATGTCACACATGGATTTAACAAAACTGCACTGAAAAATATTATAATTACAATCATTTCTATTACAGGTGCAAACTGGCTGTAGCTCATCAAAACACATTTGATTGACACTAACGGGGGTTCTAAGGAAGGTACCTGGTTGTTGTCCATGTCTCTTCTCCTCCAGGAGAACCACCAGCGTCCACTCTTTTTAGGCATCTTGTCTTTCATCAGCCGGTCAATTGTACCCTACAATAGTATTAATAATCATAATAATAGATTGGATTTATATAGCTCCTTTCAAAGGACCCAAGGACTCTTAAGATTTAGATTTAGAAGTAAATTCTAAATGTGAAATATGAGTATTTCAAAAAGATTAAAAAACAAATATATACTATAATTTTACAATTGTGATTAATCATGATTAAATACAGTCTCTACTGTTAATAATCACAATTATAATTTTTACTGATTGACTGAACTATTTAACCAATATTTCCAAGGACTAAGGTAGGAAACGTGAAATACCTTGGGTAGATTTTTCTGGAAAGTTGTCATTGACAAGACCATTGGAGCAGCTGCTGCCCAGTTATAATAGCTGTGAAAGATGAACAATCATTGACATAAACACCAAAATACTGACCATTTTTAATTCATCTAGATGTACTGTACATGCAAACAATCAAACATCAACAAATAATTTACAGTTGTGATAGCAAATCTTACTTGGAGTTGATGCAGACTACGAGACTCGGATCTTCAATGATTCCCGGATTGTTGGCAAAATCCTGGTATGTCACGATATGCTCCATGAACTTCTCTGAATGAGCAGAAAACTCAACACGGTTAAATCACCTCACTGGGGCTCCTTTAATCCTGCAACATTGAAAAGCCACTCCACAACAGCAGCAGCGATTCCCTGTCCCTTACCCTTAGTGATCTGGCTGGTGTCGCCCTCCTGTCCGCAGAGGGACATGCTGACATCCATGTTGTAGGAGGTGGAATCAGACAGATACTCTGTCCCGCTGTCCATGGCCCCGCTGCCCACAGACTGTGGGGACTGGCTCCCTGAGTAGGAGCCTTGCTCGGCCCCATGCTGAGAACTCCCCTCTGCCTCACTGCAGGGAACAAAGACACTCAAATTCAATCACTGTGGAACATTACTGACATCATTGCCTTTTAATGTTTGTTTTGAAAATAAATGAGTTCTTCTAAATAGATTTAAAATGTACCACTTATATTGTATGTTATCAATCTAATCTAACATACATTTTTTTTTACCTCTTAGGGAAATAAAGTGCAGCCTTCTCCGGGTCCAACGTCCTCAGATCGTCCAGGTAAATATCTGTCGGTCCTAGATGATGATTTCGTTTACCTAAAAAAAAATCACACATGAACCCAGCTGTGTAAATAGTGGTGTAAATGGATTACTTAGTTAACACAAACTCTACACTGATACTTTGAGCACATTTGAAGTGTGAGGAAAAGAATATCACCCTTTTTCTTTTCCACTTGCTCCACTTTAGAGGACACCTCAGAAGAATTTGCTGAAGCCTCCACAGTAGTCCAACTGGTCGCGGTGTCTCTCCCGTCAGCTTTTGGTCCACGGTCCTCCTCCCCCCCTTCTGCCCAGGGATATATCCCACTGTCCCCCTCACTCACAGGGGGACTGCTGGTGGATCCCTGCTCCCCGTGCTCTGATGAGGCGCTCTGCATCTGCAGGTCTGACCTCGTCGCACTGCATTCCTCGCTATCTTTTATGAGTTGTATTTGTGCGTTGTTTAAATCGGTCTCACTATCTTGTTTTTTTGGGCTTATAACATCAGTCTCAGTGTTAATAAGCTCAACGCTGGTTGTGCTTTCTTTGCAAGCAGGAGAATTGGTTCCATCTATTAAATTAGCTATAAAAGAAGATCGCTCCTCTTTTTCTTCTTCTAAGTCCACATAAGTCTTAGCTGCAGGTGCATACGACATGACGAGGTCAGTGGGGGTGGAATGAGCAATGTGAGAGTTTTTCTCCTTGGATAAAGGGGGGGTCTGCATAGGGAGGCTACCTAGATCCAAAGATTGAGTCCTTGGTTGTGGCCTGACCACTGTTACCCTGCCCACTCTGCCACAGCTGATCACAGGCTGGTAGCCCGTGTTGAAGGAGTCCTGTCTCTCTATGGTGCAGAAATGAGAGCTGCCAGAAGGGGAGATCCTCTCTGTTTGACACAGCTGTGAGGGGGAGGGGGCAGATTGAGTGTCAGCGTGGCAATACTGAATCTACAGCCAATCAAATCTATAGCTGTTTATGTGTGAGTGTACAGGGTGTTTACATACCACGGGAAAGGCACCCCAGTTCCACTCTATCTGAGGCCCAGAGGACCCCTGGGGTTTAACCACAAGCTCAGAGTCGCTCTTGGGAGAGGTGGCTAGGCTGAGGAACACACTGCCATGACAGAGAAAAGATCAAACATGAGATAAAGAGAAAAAAGTCAATTCATGTGAGGAGAAAAAAACAGTACGATTTTATCTCTAACAACTGGTCCTCAGTGTGGCCGCTCAACACAAACAAACCAATCAATCAATCAATAGAGAGTAAAGATTAACATTCCTCACCTATCTGAGGGTGACTGCTCTTCGTCTGAGTGTGGATGAGTGTCTCGGCTCTGCATGGCCGCTAGCTCACTTGGTTCCTCGGACAGCGAGTAGTACACTGATTTACTGTCACACATGTCAGAAGACATTTTGAAGTGAACATTAAAATGAAGGTGAAAGGCTACTCTTTATGACAATCCCACTGACAACAACACCACGCCATGCCATGAAAAACAACATCAATAAAAATTATATAAACTCATTTATTGTTTTCTGCTTCGATCTATCATCACAGGAAGATATTCTCACTCATTACTGCGGACAATTTCCACCACAATGAGAAGATCGCAAGATGTGCAAAAGTTTTATTATGAGACGGTGAGGACAAATGAAACAGTTTGGTTTTAAACGAGTGACTATTGCCTGAGTAAATCAAGATCTTGTACCATTTCTTTAAACAGTTCTGTTCTTAGTTTGCCTTAAAAAAAAAAAACATATACACAGTCCAGTGAGATTGAATCACAGACCTGGCGTGCAGCGGTGTCATGGGCCCCTCTTTAGCAGGACTCTCCTGTCCGGCCTGATCGCTCTCTCTCTCCAACTCCCTCTGTCTTTCTCTCTCGTCCGACGACGATCCGGCCTCGTCTCTCAGGTGAGAATCAGAACGGATTCGTTTGCGTCGGCGTTTCTTCTTGCGAGCACCAGACCCAGTTATGATGGATCCCTCGCCTGTCTCCTCGAGCTCCTCTGAGGTCTCCAGAGGGATTGGGGAGGTGCACAAATGAGCTGGGACCTGGGACTGGGGGGGGGCGTGGAAAGTTTGCAAAGATGATTTGTTTAAGGATACACAAATGGATTCATTTTGACCAAACATGGATAACATGGCTTTATCATCTCACCTCCATGTTTTCATTTTCCTCCACAAAGAAAGCTTCTCCATTGTCCCCCAGCTTCATGTGCAGGTCAACCGATTCACCATTTATCTCGATGTCCACCTGCGATTGCGATGCATGCGTTTGTCAAATTATGAAAGCATGAAGAGAAAATCATCATCATAGAATATAGTTAAAGTAATCATAAAGGGAAACACAGACAATTTTCTCCTTGGAGCGCAGCACACCCAGCTTGCCGAAGCGAACGTGAAAGGGGGAACACTGGAAAGATCCATTGGGCTGTCGCACCACAATCACGTCGATCCCTCCGGTCAGAGTGGCGGGATTAAGGCCGCGGTACAACTCCTTCACTGTCACGAACACAGTCTCCGCAAAGTGGCCCACAATGTTCATGGTTTGGGACTGAAAACAAAAACACACAAAAAATGAGAAGTGAGAACATTAGGGGTGAGACACAGGAACAAAAAGTGTCTGTGTTCAGTGTTTTCTTTCCACGTCTTCCATTCATGATACATAACAATCTATTATAAAGAATTCCCATGACTTTATTATTAAAATAATCAAGCTAAAATAAATGTGAGATGCAACAAAGAGAAGTACATATCACAACATCATTAGCCAAGTAGCCTCAAACCTTTCCACAACAGTAAGCCCCAAACAGAAGGGTTTCTTTTGAAAAACGCAACGTCAGTGTTTCCAGTGTTTAGAGTCAACCACAATGACCTTTGGATCACATCTTATTCATGACTAATGGGCTAAAGATCAACAACTGTGAAAGAAGGTGAAGTCTATTACAGCTACATACTGACTGCTTGTTACTACAGCCCAAAAAAGACCTACTAAATGACTGTGGCAGAACATGATGATTATATGAAAAACAGTCCCTGACATGAACATAAACGCTTGTTAATTCAAGTTAGTTAATTAAACAAAAAACTGAAAAAAGTTTTTATTACTTTTTGTCTCTTCAGTAAGCCAGAACATGTGGAACCAGAAGTAGCTTTAGTATGTCTAAACTTTTCCAAGGTTCCTGAAAAACTTCACATCTGGCCCAGTTTGAAGAACCTGAATCGACATTACTGACTGTCAGAGTCACTTCAGTGTGATTTTAGAAACAGGTTTGTCACCTCGTTTGACTTTACAAGCCCTTGACATGACTGAACAGTATACCAATATATAACTATATTACCGTGTATTTAAATTTAAATTAAGACACGCCTCAAGAAAATATTTTCTGAAGTCACAAACAAGAAGCCAGAGATGATAACCCTTCACTGTTACCGTATTAGTAACCAATTTTATCCTCAAAAATGACTTATTTAAAAACACATACAGTCAAAGAAATCTCAAAACATTAATTAATTCCACTTTGAAGCTCATTAAGTTGAAATGTTGTTGACACAGCTTGTTAACCGCATTGTTCAGGAGGCACAATGTGTGTCCGCTCTGTAAGACTAAACTGAGCTCCAGAAAATCAAAGATTATCTTCACAACTCATGTAGATACGTTTGTTTATCATTTTTCCTCTCTTCCATTCTTTTAAAAAAAACATCGGAAACAGTCATGGTAAACCTGGTTCTGAGATCTGAAAACTTAAAAAGAGACTCTTACAGTAAACATGTTTTAAGCATCGACTCTACATTTCCAATTAGAAGTCTTACCCACAGTGAGGGATGCAGATGTCCCCTCCCAACCAGACTGTGTTCACTGGACCTCTCTTCTGCCATACGACGACACTATAAAGGCTCTTCCCATCCCACTTTCGACAAACATTACCTTCATCTCCCCCCGAGGAACTTGTCGTCCATATTCCTCGGGATGCTCAGCTTACTCTAAAGGCTAGACTTAAACCCCCACCCATGTCTGTCAGTAGATGTTAGGCAACATTTTGTTAGCTTTAACCACTGGGACCTAGCGACAAATATTGTAGAGTTGATTATAAAAAAACTGCTCAGTCAAACAGGACTTTCCTCTTGATCGGTTATCATTGAAATGATAGCGCTCTATTCCACTGTGTAGCTGTGGCTGGATGCAAAATATAGCAATCTATGAGAGAGTCCTGGTAAATTCAGTCACACGCTGATGCTTCCTCTATCCAACACAATTTCAAGCACACACACACCCTCCTGTCACACTGAATTCATACTTCCCCACTTGCACTGCACATGACAGCCAGACCAGCACTTTCTGAAAGGCTTTCGGACAGGCTATTCAAACACGCTCCACAGGAAAACGCACAACTGAGCGATCCCACAGTTTCTGGTTTTGACCACCGCTCTCTGGGCCATCAAAGATGAGGAGGGCTCACTGGCAGTCATGCTCTACCAATACTGGAAAACCCTACAGGGACTGCCTGGCCTTCTCAGGAGGAACTCAAGCAAAGAAAGTGCAGAGCTGGATGGACATCACTTCATGGGTTGTATTCTGAACAGGACTCAACAGTAAGGTAGGCTTAAGTTCTAAAAAATGTCTCAGATAAAAAGCTGTCATTGACGTGAGTATTTCAAAAAGAACCTCCACTGAGGCGTTTATGTGTACGTCATTTAGAGTGATAGTGAAACTGCTAGATCAGCTGTAATTAGCAAACAGGAAAAACAAAGGCCAGCAGTAAACAATGCTAGTGAGATATAACCAAATGTAGAACTGTAGAGGGCTTACAGAGGGGAACGATAAGGGGTTAATACCTGATGCATATGGATCACTGTTGTCACTTGTAGAAACATGCAGTTTGAACTTCATTAAACACATTCATGTATCAACAGGAATGTATAAACTTGTCAGAACTCCAGCATGGATCCTTGGGGAATTTGACCTGCTGACCTTTACACACTGGTTGGTCATTTACACTACTTATTGATTTATTGGTTGTCAAAATGATGTTGAATCTGAATTCTTAATGATGTTCTGAATGGTCAGTGAGAATTTGCTCCTTTTACAGGAAACAACTTAAAAAGTAAAAGCAGTTAATGCAGTTTTCTAATGAATATAACTTCAGAGAGGCGTAGTCTACACCACGACCTCAAATAACTTTCGACACAGTGTCATCATTTGTATAATCCTGTGTTAGCAACTTTAACTCTTGACATTAGAGAACAGCAAAGAGGCAGGTCCACTTTAACTTACGTGACAATAAGTTAAACTCTACAGACCTTTACGTTTTACACTGAGACATAACCGTAAAGACTTGATATGTTTTACAGTGTAAATTTGTATAATTCAGTGTAAAACATATCAAGTCCTTCTGTGTAAAACTGACACGGAGTTCAAAGAAGAAATATTTGTCGGACTTGTCCCGACGACATGTAACTGGCAGAAAGTAAAAAACTCAGTTTGACACATTAACATCTTTAACGACGGAAAAACAAGTTAATATCGTTTGTTCTCTGCGTAAACAACAACAAAGTGTACACAGCAGCTTACCTTCCGTGGTGCTTTTTTGGGTTAACAAAACAACGGCAGACATCCAGGATGCTTCCTGCTACGTATTCCCAGACTCGTAGTGGCAAGTTTGCTGCGCCTGCGCAGAACACATGTCAATCACACGAAAAGCCAATGAGGAGACTTGAAATGAAGAAATGTCCCGCCTCTAACGTTCATTTGTAAACAAAGCATTTAATGATGCCTGAATTCCTTGAATTGTCATTGTAATAAGCAATAAGTAAAAAAATAGGGAAGTAGGTATTCAATTAGACAATGAAAATATTATAATAAGATTTTATTTAAATGTGGCACTCTTTGCAAAAGGTTGATTCTGGCTGCTGATAGGCACAATGGGAGCCGAGCCTTTTAGTCAAACTAGCCTATAATAAATCACTACACTTTGAAACTGATGTGTACACTTTAACTTATAGTTCCTCATACAAAAAAGAAAATACTGACAAAACCCACATGACACAAATCAGGGATCCTTAAACAGCACAAATTGATTTCCTTTTAAATTCAGTAATTCAGATTATAGCTGCAGGCCTTTGAGTTATTGAAAACAATCTCCTTCTGGTGTTATACTCTACTTCTTATTCAACATATCTTGAATTTGAGAGAACGAAATATTGACTTTTTGTGTGCTCAGTGAAGACACCCCACCTCCCAATTATGCCCTCCTGATAAGTTACCTAACCGTCCACATGTTCCTTAGCAGCCACTGGAACACTAGCGGCATTGCTACCTTAAACAGACCCAGGCTCAGTTTATGCAACCTATCCAGGTAGTGACAATGCCAATACTATCCACCCTACCCGACAACATCCCATAACTGAACTGTTTAGTCCAATGGGCAGCAAGAGCCAGGGCATCACTGGGGTTGACATGTGGGAACCCTGGTGATGTCCTGGCTCTTGCTGTCCATCTGTTGTTGATATAAGTATAAAAATATAAAAAACACATTTAAAGAGTTGGTCACAATATGGCCAATGCACAGCTGCCTGCAGTCTGGCTCATCTGACCTACGAAGTATTCCTGTTCATCTCTTATTTAGAGGATATTTCTAAGCTGTTTTACAGTCTGAAAATGTTCTCATCAACTGAATCTACAGAGGCCATCCTTCTGACTACAGAAGACATGTAGAGACACAATAAAGGTCAACTGAAAATGCAGTGTATATCTATCACTGGAACGAGTTGTGTCACTTTACAACAGTCCACAAAATGATTTGTTGATTCTGGACCTTTTCTGGGCTGAAAAGATATGCCTGAGATTTAAAAGAAAAACAAATAAAAAATCTTGTAAAGATATGATGAACACTTTTTTTTTACTGACTTAACATAACTTTGAGTACTGCTTCTAATGTCTATTTTACTTTTAAAAAAAGGCCTGACTTTGTATTCAAAGATATGCCCAAAATTAGGCAAATTCATTTGAATATGTTTGCCTGAGCCTAGACGATATCTGCCAAAGAATTTCATTACATGTTGCATCTAACAATTTCATGCACACACAAGCCAGGCAGCACTTTTTCACATTTTGTCCCAGCACTCAACCCTCATCATCATTCATTGAGAAGTTTTCAGCACCTATTGAAAATGATAACTAGGGTGTCCCAGTAGAGGGCATCACTACACCTGCACAGAGCCTCATTTGACAGGGACGCCGCCTTTCTTTAACTGAATGCTTCCATTCATGCTGGGAACAACTGAAAAAACAATATATCTCAATAAAAAAATAACATTTTAATGTTACTTCTCTTTGTTTGAAAATGTGAATGAGCTCTGTTTCTTAAACAAAGGAAAAAGATGACAATCTGCTTTAAAGTTATATCTATGTATAAAGTATATTTAGATAAGATTTAGCAAAAATAATAAACGGTTTGTGAAGCATTAAGGTATCTTTTTTATTCTGAATGGTAAGTCAGTTATTATGCAGAAATTTAACGGACATAGAATAAAACATGCCTGTAGTGCTTAAAAAAGATGTCACTTGTAATAAGGATGACTACACGTTTCTTAACACAACACATTATGTATTGCCCTGTTAAGGAGATGATTTTGTTACACATATTGGTCAAGGCAGAAGTTATTTATTACCTTGGCTAAACAAGACATTTATTTACACAAAGTTATCGTCATGTAGGTGCCCTACCCATAAAACTAAGAGGTTTTTTTTGCATCTGAAAAACAGATGTTACCACCACGACATAATTCAAGGTGTTCCCTGCACACTCAGGCCTCAGTGATGGCCATCCAAACTGCCTATTTAAGGAAACCCATAGCCTCACAACAGAAACACTGGCTTTCAAAACTGCTCTGCAATTGCTCACAGCTCTCTCCCCCATGTTTCCAACCCTCCACCACACAGAGCCTCCTCTAAATGTTTAGGCTCTTTTCTCTAAATAAGGCAGCCTTATCGTAGTTCCTGTCATTTCTGCCTCTTTCCCAAACATCCCGAGCAGCGTCTGTGGCAGTAGCAAAGCTGGAGCCTGTGCATTCTTTTGCCTTGTATGGAGAAATGGCCCTGCCTGAGATGTCTTTGTACGGGTCAGGCCGGCCTCTCCATTGGCCGGGGCGGAAAGGGGAGGGAACCAACCGGGAGTCTGATTCTTTAAACAAACTTTCCAGTGGGACTGACTGTTTCCCTTTTGCGCTGCTGTGTTGGACCCAGACACCAGGAGTTTGAGGGACTTCCAAATATTTTTCTACCTGAAATCAAGGTGAGAACGAAAGCTGTTACAGAGTTTCAATGAAAGCGTGTTTTCATGTGTTTTAAAGGGCTGGAAGTGTGAATTCGCTTGTGTTCAGAGGTACAATGTTCCACTGTCACTGCTGAGAGGATAGAGATACAACTTCTGAAGTGGACATTTGAATTAAAAAAAAACATTATTGATAACAGTGAGGAGCGACATGAAGAGGATGCTCACCTTGAACCTGTTTGTCTTTATTAAAGTAGTACAAATGTACTGTATGCATGTGTTTACCTCAATGTCATCAGTACGGCACATTAGACAGAGGAATTTCTGAATGCAGCTGACCCATTTTGATCACACACAACACACTTACACACACACCTTTAATGTTGCCCCTTTTCTTGGTGATGAGAGCTTAACTTCCACTTCACTCTGTGTTTGTTTTTGGAATTCCTGGCTGTTGGCGTCCCCTCCTAAGTAGTGGTGACCTACATGACCTGGAGTTAGGGAGAGGGATGACAGCCTTACTGTTTGGTGATAAGCAATGTGTGTGTGTGCGTGTGTGTGTGTGTGTGTGTGTGTGTGTGTGTGGACTGAGGGACAGAGGAGCTTTGTCATCTGAGAGGATAAAAGGGTCTACAGAGAAGCTGCGGAGGTGGACAGAGAACAAATATATTTGTCAGAGCAAGTCAGGCTGAGGCACGTCAGACGACAAATTCCAACAACAGCCAAATTCATCTGAACCTTCACAAATTATTCTTTTAATCGTTGTTTTAGCTGTTTTATTCTGTCGACTTCAGACTCAGAGGAGTTGGAGAGCAGATTTCTGTGTCCTTCACCTTGAAAATGTAACATCACACTATTCAAAGTGTCTCGATTATTGATTGCTTGAAAGAGGGATAGAGCTGAACACCAATCAGCCTCTCTCGGGGGACAGTACACTGCTGTATTACTGCAGCCGAAAAACAATGCACAATTTAAACAATCAAATTTAACTTCTGTTTACACTAGAGCCATTTAATTTTTGCTTTAACAAATTCTATTAGTGCTTAACAATTGCAGCGTGATGAAACTGTGGATTGTTGCGGGGGACGACTGTAGCATCTATGCGGGTGAGAGCCGCCCCTAATTGGATTGAGAATTCCTCTCTTCCTGGTTCCTGGAGTCTTAAGTTGGAGCTAGATTCTGGTTTGTTTCCAGCTTCCTCGCCGACTGCTGGATGGAGAATGTGAGGGCTTCAAGCCAACAACACACACCTTCCACAATTCTCCAATTTCTCTGGAACATGAAGGAAAAATCAAGTAGTCAAACAGTAGTTGAAGAAAAAGGAAGAGTGATCCAACATGTGTCTGCAGCGAGAGAAAGGAAGAGACAAAATCTTGTGTGTGTGTGTGTGTGTGTGTGTGTGTGTGTGTGTGTGTGTGTGTGTGTGAAACTACATCTTTACCCTCCAGCTTTGTTTTACATTCAAGAACATAAATTATTTCCCTGCAACCTTTGTACTGATAAACTAAACACACAGAGCCATTTTTGGACTGTTGGTCTTTATGTAAATTCTGCAGTGGACAATAAAGATATTCATTCCAAGTCTTAAAAATTTGCATTGACCATAAAATGTATAAATCTGCTCTTGTATTTAAGCAGCATTCATTTGTATAGAGATCTACAAGGAAAGAAACGTCTGTACTTGAGATAAAGAGATATTCAAAGCTGCAGTCCAACATGAAGCCGCTGTGTGAATCACACGACCGACAGAGACGGCAGACACAAATATTTAAGGCTCACCCATTGCAGCAGCTCATTAGAAGTGATGACAGACAGTGTCGCACAGGCAGACAGTGCAGCTGGAGACAGGGGGATTTGCTGAAAATAGGACAGCAAAGAGCTATTTTAAAGTGTTGGAGTACACTATGTGTGGCTGTTACTGCTACGTGCTGTTATGTCTTTTACTTGTTGCTATAACAATGGATTTATAAATAATTGTAGATTCCAGATTAAAAGTCTTTGAATGTACCCTGATGCAAATGTCCATGTAAATCTACATATTTGACTATCCAAGCAACTGAGCAACACTCAATTTTAAAACGCATTTGTATCTACAGGAAATCCTGTATTAGAATAATATTTCCAATAGACAAATTGACAGGATTGAATGATCTTCTTTTGTCACAACCTTAAGCTTCATTATTAATTATTATTGTATTGCTATAAACAACACAACAATAATCTAAATCTGTTTACTTAGAAAGTCTACCATGTTTTTTTTAAAGTGTGATTTTAAGGACAGAAATTTGACCAAGAAGAAAATAAGCAATGTCGTAAGAGTTCACCAGATAAAATTCTCTTCATGTGTGAGTCAGTCACCTACAATATTCACATGACCTCAGGGCATGATGTCATGTCACCTCATCTGTGACTCATCAAGCACATTCACCTGCTGCTTCCTGCTGCTCCTCTGACTGCTAGCACCCGCTGTGTATCGCACAATCCCATGACACACACACATGTGCATGACAAATCCTTGCAGACCTGAATATGAGTGACAGGTCTAATTCTGGAAGGACCTGAAGCTAGCCGCAGAGTGCTGTGAACACTGTGTGCCATTTTCACACCCATCACTGTACCCAACATCCAGGGGAAAGATATGATCCTCACTCAACAAGAAGCGAGGGGAAAATATTCAATTTTATAGAGAAGAAAGAAAGAGCTTGCAGAATAATATATATATACATCTAAATCGCATTATCATTAAAAATGATGCTGAAATGTATATTCAGTGTCAAGTTATTTGAACAAACAATACACCCAAGCCAAGCTTTCAATGACGGTATCACAACTTTTTTTTACAATCATATTGATAAATAATTTTTTACCAAATGTGCTCAGGCCCAGATCCAGCCGCCACCATGTCGAGCAAGCGTGCCAAGGGAAAGACCACCAAGAAGCGCCCCCAGAGGGCCACCTCCAACGTCTTCGCCATGTTCGACCAGTCTCAGATCCAAGAGTTCAAAGAGGCGTTCAACATGATCGACCAGAACAGAGACGGTTTCATTGACAAGGAGGATCTGCATGACATGCTGGCCTCTCTGGGTACAAATGATTTCTCGTCTTGTCTTCACAGATATGCTTCAGTTATTACGATTTTTTTTTTTTCTCTTCCAAACCCTCAAATGTGATGGAAAAACAAATGCTAACTTGCTTGAGTCCACCTTTAAGTTCCCTTTAATGTAATATACAACATATTGCTCTGAAATGTCTGCTTTTGAACACCCTGTCATGAATGGAAAATGATTCAATTGTTTTCAGTGTCAAGGTTATTCTCCTGGCTATAGGCCTAGAAAGAAATGTGAGTGAAGTGTAGTCCAAAGAACAGAGGTGGTTCAGTGAAGATAATCGCTTCAATAAATATATAAATATATATTATGCCAAATAATAGCGCACATCATTAAATAACACAACATAAAATACCATGATTTATGTTTCAGTAACAGAATTTAATACTAGATTGTGAGTCAAATACTGTGTATGTGTTATTAGGGGGGCTTTTCCTTTTGGAGGGGTGGCCACAAGGGGGACCAATCTCAGTTTTACAGGGGCACTGGCCCCTGTCGGCCCCTTCCTAGAACCGCCCATGCCAAAGAAAGCATACACATAGCATGTGTATGTAACAGTGCCTCTCGTCCTCAGGTAAGAACCCCTCTGATGAATACCTGGAGGGGATGATGAGCGAGGCACCAGGGCCCATCAACTTCACCATGTTCCTCACCATGTTCGGAGAGAGGCTCAACGGCACCGACCCCGAGGACGTCATCCGCAACGCCTTCGCCTGTTTCGATGAGGAGGGCTCAGGTGAGTCAGTGTTAATAAGTAGAAACATTCAACATAAACGGATCCTGCCACTTACACTGACTTAATCTCCAACCTGATGGATGTGTTAATTTGCATCAAAGGTGTGATCCATGAGGACCACCTGAGAGAGCTGCTGACCACCATGGGCGATCGCTTCACAGATGAGGAGGTGGACGAACTCTTCAGAGAGGCGCCCATTGACAAGAAGGGCAACTTCAACTACGCAGAGTTCACTCGCATCCTCAAACACGGCGCCAAAGACAAGGATGACGAGTAAAGCAAAAAGCCAACTGCCTCATTCCTGCATTCATACTGCAACACAAATAAGTCCCTAGTTCCTACCTTTGTGGGCCTTGTAGGCCTTAGAGAAATTAAATAGGATTTTTTAAAATCAAAATCTTTGATAAAAAAGGCCCAAATGGATATTTGGTTTTGTTCATTTTGAACTGAGCATGTTTCAGAAAGGTAGGAGCTTGGTATTTATTTGAGATCTGCAGTTGTTGTAACCCTGGTAGATCATCACAGGGATTCTGGTTGGACATTCAGATACAACAAACATCATGAACATCAACTGGGTTTTTTGACTGACTCAGTGCTTTATACAGTGCCAGCAATGTTTACTTAGCCGTCACACCTGCAAAAGCACAGCATACAGTTTGCTTATCTGTAATATTTGTATCCTTTGTATGTCAGAAATGGATTAAAAAAATATGTATGATTCAGATTGTTTTGTTAAAAGTGATGCATAGTTCCACTTGTTTTGTTTTTTTTAAAGCCCTCATCCTTCCCTCAGCTGTTGTTTGTAGCCTCTTTGTTGAAGGATCAGGTAAAGGCCTTAGTATGTGTAATTGAAGGAATTCTGTTGTGAAATTGCTCGAACGATTAAAGAAAGTTTTATCATGCCATTGACGGCGAAAAAGTTTGTGTGTGCTTGGCTGTTTATTTTTTTAAGTCCCTGTACTATCTCTTATAACTTCACATGCTGAAGTTTTGTTTTGGAACTTCACTTCTAACAACTGAGGATAAAGTTTAGGACCGTGTAGATAGAGCAGCAAAAAAGCCTAAGGGCATTAACCTAAATAAACATTTGCTTTAAACTAACAAACATAAAAAGTTAAAACAACAAAAGGTTACTACTACAACAGGAGATCAAATCAAACTCTTTTGTCCATGTGAACATCAAAAACTGTTTGAAAGTCATATAAACACACTGTTGTACATTTTCTAAATGTGCAAGAATATTAAGAGTTTATCTGATAATTGAGGGTTTAATAAGTCAACTTCCAATTAAAGTTCCATTTAAATATCTGGCATTACTTTCTTAAATATTTTATAGAACATGTTTGCCTTTATTGGAGAGGACAGCTGAAGAGTGACAGGCAAATGTTTTGAAAAGGGAGCAGGGGATGACATGCAGCAGAGGGCCGAGGTCAGATTCAAACCCACCGCCGCTGCAGCCTCCTCCGTACATAGGTGATGTGACATAACCTCTGGGCTATTTGGTTTCTATATACTTTTTTAAAAGCATCGCGTAACTAACAAAAAACTTGTTCTGCTGAAAATGACCAAACAACCCACTTTAATCATAGAACCATCAACAGATTTACAGTCTACTATTGTCAAGGTCTTTATTTTTTGTGACATGAAATATTTTGTTGTCCATGAAAAAAAAAAAAAATCTATTCAAAGCCTGTTGTACGAGAGTAATCAATTTATGTTTACAAGGCAGGTAACATCCATTGAAAATGTCATCATTTGCAAAGTTGAGCAATTTGTAACAAACTGACTTCTAAACATTCAACACTTGTATTGTGAACAAAGACCAAAGATGTAGCACTTATGGAAAACTGAACTTTTATTTCATTGAAATTATTGTACAAAACACATTTAAAGTTTAAGGCATATATTGCACAGACTATTGAGAAGTTTTGATATAAAAAGAGACATTATCCCTTAGTCGTAGGTTTAAGGCACAGCAGCCAGTCATACTGCTAACGGTCATGATTCACAACATGAACTTGAAAAACATTTTGAATGCATTTGGCTGTGAAAAGAAAAAAAGAAAAAAAACTATACAGTTTGAAAGTTCATGCCTATACAAACAAACAAAAAAATTTGACTGAAAATATTTACACACATCATCACATTGTCTGTTCTGATTGAAGCGGAACTCTGCATCTAAAATCACATAGAAACCTTGCAATAAAACAAAACAAAACAATGTCTCATCTGAAGCCAGCCATTTCCAGTATAATAACCGATAAGGTGTTGTCACAGTGGCATGATGCAGTATGAACAATAAAAAAATCACTTTAATACTTAGTATTCTACATGTTACCCAAGCCTGACAGGACCTGTGGAAATTGAGGTATAAATGCACATCAGTTTAGTGTGTACCTGTGTAATGAGAAAAAAAAAAAAAAGGGGGGGGGAAGGTTCACCGACATCCACAGATCAATAATGGCAGTGATGGGCGACACAAAAAATAATTTAAAAGAACCCAAGTGGAAATACAAGAGGAGTGTTTGAGTTTATAAATCTACCATGGAAAAGTTAGTTTTTTTTCTTCAGACATCAGACTTTTCCTTCCGTCTCCTCAAACATGCAAATAACCGTTTAAACTCAGCACATCTCAAAGACACAGGTAAACATGACAGTACTAGATCCTGCTAAGGTATTGTTCACATGGGAATTAATCCACATGATGCTACTGTTAATAGAAGTCCAGATGGCATGCAGCCATATATTGTGGTTCGTGCTAAGACAGTTTCATGGAAACTACAGCTTTGTGAATGATTTAAAGATGGAAAGAAACCATTTCTAAACACAGATGGAAAGCACCGATGGGGAAATGAAATTAGTTTAATGCTCTTGGACCCTCCTGGTTAACAAAAAAAAAAAAAAAAAAAAAAAAGAACCAGAAATTTTGAGCTATATCAGTTCATCTGCTACATTAGCTTCATCAAGACACTTTACTCATGTAAGACATTCAGGTTTGAAATACAATGCCCAAGTCCTAACATCCACATCAAACAGGATAATTCATATTTCATAAATATGATGATTTAACATATAAAGTGTGCAGCACTAGTCGCCTTGACTCCCAGCGAGTGTAATGTTTCAGCTGAGGAGATGTAAGCGCTTGATGTCACTGGGTCATCAAGCTGCTCACCTCTCCACTCAAATTGATTTCTGTAACAGATCCAATGTGACCTTCTCTCCCTCATCCTGTCTCCTCAACTAAAGTCCCTGAAATACATACACAACTGATCAGGGTGGAATAAATAGAAAAGACCCAATGGCTTCATTTTCAGCGAGAAAAAACAAAGTGTGACCAGTTTTATAGTTCAGAAAAGCAAAACCCCTGGAATGACTCACAAGGGCTAATTAATCCATTTGGTTTTTAAAATGCAGGAAGATAGATGGGGGAGGGGGAGTGTTTATAGCAAGACATTCAGTCCGGCTCGAGTACAATCACTTTCCCTTCTATTTATCTCCAGGGGAAAAAAGTGGATGTGGTTGTGTGAGGGGGGAAAAATAAAGGGGAAAAAAAAACACATTTTCCTCTAAGAGGGGAATGAATGACAAGCAGCTAAGGTAGGTATGAATGTCTTTTGTACATTCATCAAAGTCTGGTTATGCTACTGAAGAGGCTAACTGACTGCTGGTGATGGAAATTAACCCGACTGGATTTTTTTTTTTTTTTACAATTACCGGATATTTTTATCTTTTCATTCATTATCGTCAAGTGGAAAAAGATGTGAACCCCCCCCGCCCAAAAAAAGGTACATAATTTGACTCTAAACTGAGTACTGTTCATTGTAGTGTTCTTACCAGCAGGTGCCTCCTTATAGAAAATATTTAAAACAGCAAGTATATTGTCCGTTCAAAACTTTTTCTGAGTTCATTGGTCTCCTTTCATTCTCTGTTTCTTCAGGTACACACTTAATGACAAAAAGGGATAAAGATACATTCTCCTATATACATTGTTGTCCAGCCAAAGGGAATGACCTGGCCTCTCTCCTCCAATCATATACATGCATCGATAAAAAGAAAAAAAAAAATCTCCTAGTTAACTATTTCGCTCACTGTGTGCAGGCTGTGTTGTGGGCCCCAGACCGTGCTGATGGGGGTCTGCACCACTTGAAGAGAGCTTGGTTGTCTGGTTTCAGTGTGGACCATGCTCCAAACGCTGGGCACTATTGCTGAATTTCTCTGCGTGCTACCGCTAATACTGCTAATGCTATTGATGCTGCTGCTGGAGGAGGAGACTTGAAGAGGAACAGAAATGTGTTGAGAAGCCTGACTCACGAGAGAAGTGATCGTGGAAGTGATCGGGGCTGAAGAGTGAAGAGAAGTTAGAGCTTCTGCAGTAGGGAGGACTGAGGTGTGAACTGGGGATGTTGATGAAGCTGCGGTTGACACAGGTGATGAACAAGCGACAGGGTTAGGGGAGATTTGTGGAATGGCAAGTAAAGTGGAACTCCTCTAGGGGCAGCCTTAACAAGCGCTACACCCTGCGCTGAGGACTGGCTTATAGCAGTGACAGACGTGGAACTTTGCTTGGCCGAGAGAAGGACTGGTGTGGGCATAGAGGCTTGCCTTGTAGCTGGGATTGAAGGACATGTGGTGAGCAGTGGGGCTGAGGTTGGAGTTGACGGTGAAGCTTGGGGGATAACTGGAGCAACAGCAAGTTTCTGAGAATTTGGCTCAACCAAGACTGAGGCAGACACAGGGATAAGGAGAGGCTGAGTCGGGCTGGAAGATCTGGCGGGATCCTTGTCCAAGGGGCTCCAGATGATTTTATTCATCGGAAGAGGGGACAGCCGTGGTGAAGATACTAAAACCGGAGTTGGGACTGGTACAGAGGCTGGTAGTGTGGGAGGCATCCAAGCCTTTACTGAAGTTACAGGTGAAGCTGGAGCAGCCATTGCCTTCTCCATCAGACTTTGCACCCTTGAAGGATCCATGACCTGCTGGTTGTCCTCTGGAGGCGGCGTGGGTCCCAAGTCACTGCTGTAAGCCTCCACAAGTTCACTTTTTGAAGCCTCTGCAGGTCTGCTCTGGCTCTCCTTGAGTCTCTTTAGGTTCTCCTGCTCCGCTGCGCGCTGCAGAGCCGCATCCACGAGGAGCCTTAAGTCACTGAAGTCCTGTGTGGGGAACAGCTCGGGAGGAGTCGGGGGAGGCGTGTTAAAGAGGCCGCTGGTCGGGCTGGCTGCTGTTGTGCTGGTGAGAGAAGCCCCCTGTTCCTCCGCTTCCCTCAGCAGACTCTGCGTATCTAGTCTCAACAGAGCCTGGACTGAGCCCTCCTTGCCAGGGTAGCCCGCTCCCGTCAGGATAGCTGTCGCCGTGCTCCCAAGAAGGCTGAGGTCCAATGTGGGAGCAGAGCGGATGACAGAGGGACGATGTTGAAAAGAGGAGGAAGAGGTGGAGGAGTTGCTGCGTGGAGAACTGGCTCCATCTCCGTTAGACTCGTTTTTGCCGCCAACCTTGCGGGAGATGGTGAACTTTGTGGGGTCTTTGCCATCCTTGCGAAGCAAATCAGGGAGGAGACGACGGCGTGCATTGATGAACCAGTTGCAGATCTGGGGAAAGAGCAGACGTTTTTGGCATTAAAAAAAACTGACAGATTGCTTACATGGATGTTTTCTGATAAATAGATCAAAAGAAAGTGGTTTTTTTTTTTTTACATTTTCCAGATTCATTTTCTCCCCCTACAGCTTCACAAGTCAAGCCTTGCATCACAATCAAGCTTTTAAAATGTCTTGGCTCTGTGATCTTAACACACCCGCCTACACACTTCCTTCATCTCAGCTGTACACGAGGCCTTTTTCACCCCCTCTAGTGGTGTAGCCTCCCACACAGGGAAGAGAAAAAAGGAGGGTGAGACAGACAGAGATGAGAGCCCTCAGACAGCTGGCAATAATGAAGCTCTGGGTAAATATGCTGAGCCACAGAGAAACCAGCCAGAAGCATTCCAGTGAACCTACTGCAGAACAAGAGGCTCCGCCTTATGATGATCTGTGATGTCTCCACTAATGCTCAGCATGTTTACATGCACAGTTTAGTTGAGCTATTGCAGCGTGATTAAACTATTTAATTGGACTGCTCTCCTTGTGTCAGTATGGGACAGCGGGGCAAAAGTGTGTCTGGATTTCTATATGTATTTGTTCGACTTTGAGAAATTCAAACGTACACTTTCTGTATGACTTACATATATTTTAAAATCCAGTTTTAGTCAAATTAATACAATACATTGTCTTTTTATAACTGCATGTAAACATTATGTTAATAAAAGAAAAGACTGTAGTTCTAACACTTGAGAGCTCAATGATACGTTTCAAGATTGAGAAGAAAAAAAATAGTAATTTGTTGAAGCGATGTCTTCTTTGACAAACAGAGGATTAACATTGAACATTACTTAGAGCTTCATTATAGGGAAAGATCTGTTCTGTGCTATTGCATATTTAAGAATAACAAAATAATAATGAGGAATTTGTGAAATATAAAAACTGAAATGGCATTGGCAGTTATTTTAGACTGTCAAAGATTTACTTCATATAAATCATCACAAAAAAATTAATGAATGATCACAAATTAATTAAAAATAACATTTAACAGAAAAAATACCCAAGAGAATGCCGAGACAGAGAGCGCCACAGTGTCAAAGAAGGATAAATTAAATTCCTCTGCTCACCTGCAGCACAGAGAGGTTGGTCTGGCCTGACAGACTCAGTTTCTCTTGCTCTGACGGGTAGGCATTGAAGCGGTGCTCGTACAGCCAGCTCCGTAGAATCTGCACCGCCTCCTTGGGCAGGTTGCCGCGGCGACGGCGCTTCCCAAAGAGCCCTCTTCCTGACAGGTCGAGGGGAGAGCCATCATCGCTGTCGGACACAGCAGAGGAGTGCTCCTGCTCCGGGCGATGCTCGTCTTCCAGAGCTGAGGGGGGGAGGCGAGAAGTCAGTCGAGCTTGTTACAGATACCAACTCACGTCATTTAATTAACGTGCTTACATCAAATCTGTGTGTCGTCTGCTTTAAAAAAAAAAGGCATTGATCAGTGTAAATATGTTTTTGTTGCATCTTTATTCAGTAATGCATGGAGTCTGTGACAGAGAGAAGAAGCCAATTATCTAATTTGAAGGATTTACACTCGATGTGGGATTTCACTCACTTTCTTTCACAAAATAAAAACCACCACTACTTTCTCACAAAACCAGCAACTACCACGTGAGTGCACAAAAAAAAATCTGAACAGGTTACTAATGGATAAGTGTAGGACCTTGTCAGTCCAATTATCCTGCTTTTTCTTTTTTTATAAACAAATCTATACTGAAGTTAAAGGAAGTTTCATTCTTTTTAACAATGGCCCTGGGTTAGAACTTTGTTGTTGGATTTTCTTCTGTCACTCTCTGGTTGGCCACAGGACAGGATTTCCACTCAAAATGGAGTATGCCTGATCCCAGGGGTGGGTCGCAGAATGCAGTAAATGTCTTTCTCTGGGGCTTGGTGAAACCTGACCCCTGGGGGCAGCGCTTGTCTTCACAAAGAAGATTGTGTGCATATCAGCATCACAGTAGCCAGTGGCCCAGGAACCTATTGACCATGCAAAGGAGGTCGTTTTCACCTCATGCCACTTGGGCTCTAGACTGCTGCAGCAGTTGACAAATCTTTTGAATCCTGCATTCCTGGACAACGAGGGAAGTCCTAAAGCGAGTTAAAGAGGGGGATAACACATGAGGACAACACTTTATTTCCAAATATAAGCAGAATATCTGATAATGCCTAAAATTGAACTGTAGGTCTGTAGTTTATTGATGATTGGAAGAATTGCTGTGATCCTTTATCATTACTGTCTGCTATTTTTTTTAAATCACATTTTGTACAAATCATCAGAGTTAAAAACAAAATACTTTGTTTTTTAAGCTGCTACTATAAACTGGCAAACTGAAAAAAAGGAAAAATAAACTGTTATTTGATTTTACACACAATTACAAAAATATCCCTACAATGGATTTTAGTGATATCACCCAGTAAAATAAAGTTAGGCTACAGGGTATTTTCACAATTTCTGGATTAGATTAAATCTTTTTGTTTCTGTCTGATAGTATGATCAATAAAGTTTGAGTCATTCAACAGAAACACTCATAGGTTGACAGACATCTAGAGTCATAAAGAGAAATGGTGAAGCCCACAACAAAGCTCAATTCCCACAAGTCTGAGCACTGGATAGACATTTAAAGGTTTGCCATGAAATACATACACCCATTAAAGCCGCGATTGATTCAATTCAAGCCAAGACAAATTTCAGACAGATGTGTGCTTTGTATAGTATGCCATGTCGGCTAAACATCCCACTTGGAGTCATCTTTTTTTGTATATACTTTGTTGCTCTTGCACACAAGCAGGCCTGTGACGCTGTGTTGGGAAAAAGTGGGAAGTGATTCTAATGTTTAAATGTTTTTTAAAAAAAATGGTCGACTCAAACTCGTTTGACTGTTCAAAAGTGAACAAAACTTTTTTCTGAACAGGCCGAGCCAGATGTAAGAGTTTTAATGTGAACGTCAGTCAACCACTCACTAAACATCAACTTTGAGGACTCGCTTTGTCAAAACCATTACGTCACACTTAAACACTACTGACGGCCGCTAAAGAAAGACCTGTAAAAAGCAACAATGTAACATTAAAAAAAGTGACTAAACGACGGGCTATTTCAAATTAGCCATCTGGAGCGCACAAAGGAGGCAGGCAGAAAAACACAGCCTCCCGCATGTCACTCCGCCAGATGGACACCATGCCTGCCTCCACAGATAACTAGCTGGCTAGCTGTCCCTCCAAATTTGAACACAAACACACGCTGCATTTGCTCGCAACAAAGAGCCCGCATGCCAGGCTTAAACCAACAGAGAAGACACGGCTACAGGCGGACACACACTCTGAGTTATAACCATGCAGGGTAGAGATACCAAATACAAAAAAACTCACCTCGTTTGAATGCTTTCATTCTTTGTTGATGGCTCGCTTGAAAACGCGCAGCTGTCCAAGTTGCTTGCTGTACAAAGCGTGCCCGGGAGCTTGAACGATGGTTGACACAACGCCACTTTCTTCCCAAGGAAACAGAAGGTGTTGCGCTGTTTTCACAGATTTACACACGTCGCTTTTTTTTTTAGGAGTTCCGCAGCCAAGATATCGTTTCACCTGGTTTCCATTTCTCCCCTCGCTTTCTGCCAGGAATAATGTTTTCTGTTTTGTGTCGCCTGAACCTTCTTTTACCTGCCCGCAGCAGCAGCGCCAGCTTTTTTGCCAATCTTGACAGTCGCAGCTGAAAAGATCCCGCCTCATCAATAGCTGTCAACCAATCACAAGCCTTTTTGACGCCTCCATTGCAGCCGTGAGCCAATCACAGCGCGTCGAGAGACAGCAGACAGACTCTGTGTCTCTGTGATTGACGGGTAAGAACCATTTCATTCAAGGAACATCGCAGTCATTCAAACATTGTTATTTTCTCGACACGGCTGAAATTCTGCTCGGTAAAACAGATTAAAGCGCGTTTAAATGTGGCAACACGGTAATCTTAGCAGCAAGTGTGGTCGTTTTTATTCTAAAGTACGGGAGACCGCTACACGGTGTGTTTGGACCTTATGTAACGTTGTGCAAAATGTTCTGGTTACATAAATCATAAACGTCGAATACGTCGCTGGTGACCACATCTGCACACTTAGTTTTATGAATAAGTTATCTCGACACACTGTCTGGAGCGATATTTGCTGTGGTAGTTACGTTATGCAATCTAAGTTAGTTTCATTCTTGAGAAATGGATAGTTGTTGCAGAGGTGATGCTTCTGTCGTCTCTGCGAGATTCCCTTTGCAAAATGAGCGGGAGAGTAGATTTAAAGAGCTGTCACTGTTTGTGCTGAGAAGGCAGAAAGTAGGTCAAATAACGCAACAAAATAAAAAAAAATAGCCTATTAAAAGAAACATTTAGTCAACAAGCGGTATCCTCATGCAAACAGTAAATATGGTCACCTTGTTGAGAAAGTATTCTGTGCCTTTTATTGAGTATTACTTCTTTTCATTATACATTTGAACAACTTTGAAATCGTAGATCTACAGCGCTTTAAAAGATGAAGATTTTTCAGTCTGTTTTTTTTATTTACAGAGGACGACTTTAAAGAAGCACATAGAGGGGAAAAAGAAGAATCAGGAATTGGCTATTAGTTCCATCTTAATATCAAAGAAACCCTTTGATGCAGTATTGCAAATACTTTAAATGAATGAATTCAGGACAACACACCCACTCACTCACAACTTTGTCTCAAACAATGCAAAACGTTTACAGCTACCAAACCACACAAGCCCTGACATAGGCCTATAGCCTATAGAGTAAGTTATCCTATTCTTTTAAATATGTGCTATGTCCATAAAATATATACTTTGATTTCATATGAGCTGCCCCTACCACTTTCCCAATTACATGCCCAATTCAGTAGAATAACACAGATATACTAATGAGCTTGTTTTATGGGGGGGACTGAAGTAAGGGAGGGAATTCACTGTCATCCCAATTTAGAAAAACCTATGCACTGAACTGCTTCTCTTAATTCATCTCCTCGGGTCGAACCTTCATTTTCAGGCCTGGAATTCAGAGAAATAACTTCATATAGCCTACTAAAATGTCCAATCCCATTTTGAGGGACAAAGTGAAATATAAAAAGGTACGTAGGTTCACAGAAGATTTTTTTGACCATACAGTTATTAAAAGAAATATTTAAATTTCTGCTGGCTTAACAATTAAACTACGAATTTTAACAAATGTCTGAGTGAAAACTTACTTCACAGACTTTATCAATTTGAACCGTACGCTTCTGTATTTAAAGTAGGCACATTAAAGAGTGAAGCTGAATACAAGTGTTGAAAAACCAGTTCTGAAAGTGAAGCCTAAAAGAACAGAACGGTGCTCAAGCAAAGGCTGACAGTCTTGACTTTAAATGGCCAATTCTATCAAACCACTATCACCTTGAAATCAATGGCTTTACAGACACCACACCCCCCACAGTGCAGCTGTTTGAAACATGGATAACCCATACCTAGGAAATAGACCTAGGTGTGTCCCAGTGATATCTATGTGTGTATTGAAGAAAAGCCTTGTTTATATGTATGAGATGAGCTTTCTTTTCATTCTTTGAGTAGGCCGCTGACATCTCTGTAGATGTTTTAAACATCCAATTTTTTTAAGAGCTGGAGAAGCAGCTTTCAGTTTGAGTTGGGTAAGACCATAGAGCTACTTTTTCTTAGTGTGTTTAAGATGCCAAATAGTGTTTGATGTGCATTCAAGACAGGTACACACCTACAGTTGGTGTATGGAAATGATGAATGTTGAGAAAAAGATGTGATGAATTTGCTTTAAGCTCTCAATATTCTTGCAGTGGGTAAGAGGGAGATTTTTTGTTTTCACAGCATATGTCTGCAAGTAAGCATGTATTAACATTTCACAATTTTCTTCTTAAGACATTTTACTTAATTTTAAGTGTGTCAAACCAACCATTTTTTGACACTGTACAGATGATTTCAGACACAACTTTCTCCCTATAGCAATCAGAAATCAAATCACACTAACGACAGTGTTGGGCTCACACAAAAGGCCTTCAGGTGCTAACAATGCTCTCCACACCAGTCAAACGGAGCGGGGGCATTGACAGCCACCAAGGAACAGCCTTTTGACACCCCTGAGCCATTTTCCTCGCAAAGAGTCTTCTCTAAACATGCAAACGCAACAGCCAAACAAAGGCCTGCCATCAAGAAAACCTCCTGCAAAGACAGAGTAAGAATGGCGGTCATCAGGCCTTTCCGATTCAAAGCCCCTGGGCTGCATTTTGGAGGTCACAGCGGGTGAGAAAGAGACATTGCAACAGATAAAGCAATGCAGTGACACTGCTTAACATAACTAATTAGGAAGTGGAGGTTAAGGGTTTGTTTGTCTATCATTTGGAAGAGACCAAATGTGAGTGGAAGACGGGGAAAAGTCTGTGATTCATGTAAGAGCATGTCAGTGTGGAGTTTATGATTTGATGTGTACTTTTAGTGTTAAACTCTGCAGGATTTCTGAGGCCTGGGGTCAAAGTTAAGTGAGACAAAGAAGAATGTAAATGTGTCTACATGTGTACATCACAGGGCAGGGCTGAGGGTCGCCATGTGGAGTGAATCCCATTCCATTGTGTGCACACAGTTAACTACAATGTAGTTTATCTTGGGTTGGAAACTAACCACTGTCGCCCCCTTCAGGTCAGAGAGAAAACTCACAGGCCGACTTAAGGGGAGGGGTCCTAAACTCTCAAAAAAGGCAATGAGTGTTGTTGTTATGAAGGGCAGTTCTGTTTTAAGCTTCCTGGCCTGTGCATATCAAAATGCTAAAATCTGTAATACAAACAGTGCTGTGGCTATACTCCATATATTTTCACAGTAAGCTCTGTTACCGTTGAATTCCCTGCTTCTGACACAATGAGATGAATCTGAAACAGTGAATTCATCTTTGGCTTATGAGGTCTTCCATGAAAAGAAAAAAATTAGCAAGCAGCATTAAATAAATGATGAAAACACAAAGACTAATGTCCGTAATGATTTTAATTAGAATTTGTTTTCCTTTGAATAAAAAAAGTGCAGGTACTCTGGATGATGTTCAATAAGGGGAAACAAGAATGGTAACAAAAAAAACGTAGATTTTGTTGGATTTATCGAGACAGTATAAAAATGACACGTTCATATGTGTGTATGGTACATTAACAAACTATTATCCTGCATACGTAGCCTGATGCATTGCCTTAATAAAAGCCCTAGATTAATTGGAGATGTTCTGTATAAATGGAATAGTTTGTGAGGTTAATAAAAGCACTTAAAGAAGCATTAAAGTGACGAAAAACAAAACAAAATCCTGATTGAAATAATCACAGATCAGCAGTTACAGCACAAACAGAGAAAACTAAATAATGGGACGGAGAGAGCAAAGGAGACTTAATAGGAGTGGAAGGAGTCTCCACTTCAAAGAAAACAAAATGTTCAGGAATATTGTGGCCACTTTTATATTCACATGCTAGGTGATCTTTTCTATTGGAATGTGCTCTCTTTCAAAACCATTTACCCACTTCCTGTCACCACTTCTTCAAATCTTTGACACAACAAAAGTCAGATGGACACACATGTAAGAGTTAATTGCTAATATATATATATATATATATATATATATATATACCCCTTCAAAGCTGACTTTCAATTTCATCATACCAAAAATATTCATAATAAGCAGATCTAGATTGATTTTCTTGATACAAAACAAAAGGTCAACAAACTAATGAAAGGAAGACGTACATAGGTTTAGGTTTGTCGTGTGTGTGCAGTGTGAGGGCTGTGGATGTTGTGTGTGCAGTGTGTTCAATGGCCACAAGGGGGTGTTGTGCAAAGCTACAAGATGGCCAATGATCTGGATAGAGAGGAGGACAATGGGAGACAGAAGAGCATTAGTATTTGCTGTCTGTCTACTTAATATATCTTATAGCCAAATAGAGGAGCATTTAAAACAGTCTTCATAGATTCTTTTGGATATAACCGTCATAGTAATAATATCGTCATTAACAAGTGTATGATATCAAGAGTAGGAACAAGAAATGACAAAGTTCATCAGCTGAGGTTTTCAATGGCTGCCTCGAAACCAGGAGTCTCTTGCTTCATGATCTGATCCAGTCCAAGAAAGTTCTTGTTGTGTTTCCTGTTTTGTCTAATAAAAGTTTTGATTCCATCAGGACCAGCCTATCACTGTATGAGTGTGACAAAAATGCCCAAATCAATCCCCCCACCCCCCATATCTGTAGGAGTTTGATCTCTCCTCCCCCCACCTCCATTTATCTCAACTCACAGTACCTCATTTGCAATGCAAAAGTTTTCCTCTCTTTGCTCCAAGTATTTCAAGGATTCATCCTCACTTTGTACTTCACTTCACTTATCTGTCTTCTGATCCTAAACACCCCACCCCCCCACCACCTTCTACCCCCCACTGTCTCTCTCAGAGGCGGGTCTGGGCCTCAGGGACGTAGATTTCGATGCTGTCTGCACTCTCTGTGGCAGAGTTCTGGCGAAACGAGGCCGCCTTTTTAGCAGCTAGCAGACGCTTGCGAGCCTCTTGTCTCTGCTTCTCTGCTGAGGCCGAAGAAGAGGTGGAAGAGGAGTCGGCGCTCTTCTCACGGCTCAGCAATGGCCGTCCCTTACCGGGCTTCTTTGTCGCCGGAAGGTCCGCATTCTCTTCGTCCTGGAGTGTCAAGAGTGAAGCGTTACAGACAGGAGGAGGACAGAGAGAGAGAGCAGTGTGTAAAAGGGGAGAGAGAGAAAAGAAAGTGCGACTGTTATGAGAAAACTGGCTTCAAGATGTCCTTATTTGTTTAAGCAGGTTTAGGCAGACAGGACTTTGACGGACAAAGACAAAACACCAGTGCTGATTGGTTTTTTTTTTTCTTAAGCTTAGTTTTTCAGCGTTAACAGAAAGAACACAAGTAGACAGCTTGTAAGAATAAGCAAACATTAGGAAAAAGAGTCATTGACAATGACAATTTCAGACATGAAATGGTTACATGAATTGATGGACACATTGGATCAAACTAAAAGTAAAAAAAAAGCATTACAACACGACATGAAGCAAGAGCCCCCCCCCAGCTAAAAGGATCCATACATGTACAACACACATATACTAAGACACATCACAGTACAAAAAGACAGAAAGAGTTAGACACATTGACACACACAAACAAGTAGACAGACACAAAGACCTCCAAGCAGAGAAGCTGCAGCAACAAGACTGCATCTTAGCCATGCTTCATTGCAACACACACAGTAAACTACACATGCATGCTCAAAGCAGGGCTTTACATTTAAAAACACACCAACGACAGCCCTCTTTGAGATGAAGTTTCCCATGCATGCCTAAAGGGATCTCTCCGGTCCCTTTGTATTGGACGGGGAGGCCCTGTTAGAGTCGATCCCACGCAGGGACAGGGGAAGTCAAAAAACAGGGGAGGTAAAAAAGAGTGGGAGAAATGGTGGTGGTGGTGGGAGGAGAGAGGCCGGTTTCGGCGGCTTTCCTACCCCAGCCAGGGCACTGGGCAGCAGGGGTGGGAAGTACCTTCCGCTCAGCGGGCGACTGGACAGCCGCACACTGTACGGGCTGCCAGTCATTAGACTTGAGGTGGTAGAGCTCGTCGAACTTGAGGCTGATGTCCTCGATGGAGAGCTGCAGCAGGTCCCAGAAACCAGCCAGGTCCTGGTCAGTGGGCCGCGGGTTGGCATTCACATTCTGAACAAAAGATAGAAGAGAAAAAAATGGAGAAAAGAGGGATCTATGTATTAATCTAGAAAAAAATACACCACCATAAAATAAATGCTAAAGAAATACGTAAGCCTAAAGATGCATTTCTTTCAAATGCCTACTGCTGTCATCCATTTAGGAAATAAATGAGTGTGACTACAAAACCGTGTATATTGGTCTTACAACCTAGAGGCCTGGTTGTTCTCAAACATAGTCTTGATTGTTTTATACTTCATGTGTGATTTACGTGATGCAGTGTTACTTGTTATATTGGAGAGCATTCAATGCCTATATAAGGTCGAGTTGAGAGTAGAGAGATGACAGTGAACGTGTGGAAGCAGATAAGGAATGACATTTCTAAATGTCCTCCACCAGACTGAAGCCAGGGAAGGTACAGGTCATGTTCAGCTTCTCACACACACCCAGACTTTTAGGGTGCCCCCACATAAGGAATTACTATCTTATTAAACAATTATAATGTTACATCGCTACACAGAATTACTTACATTAAAGGTGCACTACGGAGTTTTGGTAGAGAAATGTGAAAGTTGGAGAAATGTAGAGATTCAGTGGTATATGTTAATAACTCCATACACAAACTGTCCTCAGAGGAAAATTTGGTCCCTGGAACACTGTTTAAAGATAAAGTTATACGCGAGTTGTGTTGGGGGGCCCGCAACAGTGAAACTGTAACTCTCCTGGTAGCTTTTTAAGCTCCAAACAGTGTTCAGGGACCCTTTTTTCCTCTGAGTAAAGTTTGTGTATTTAGTTCAGAAAATATAGCATAGATTTGTTTTACTTCTCCAACTTTCAAATTTCACTACAAAATCTACATGGTGCACCTTTAACTGGAGATTTTCTAGTTCTGCTAATTCTATTTTCACCACTAGAGGGCGCCATGTTACAGCTCAACTCTTTAGTCAAACTGAACTGCAGACAAAAGTAAGAATAAGAACATAGCTGCTTTTATAATTGTGTTCATACTGAAAAGGTTGTTTAAGCCCTGACTTAACACGTGCAATCAGTTGAGAAGTTGAGGAATGCTAAGTTCTTCACAAAAAGACAAAAAAACCATTCAGGTTCCAGTGTCGCTTAAAATGCCCAACAAGCTAAACCCTCTCACTTGTTTACAAACAGCTACGTCTGTGTTTATTGTTCGTGCCAAGCCTGCACAGATTGTCCGACGGATATAAAGTAAATCCTGATCTGACTACTTCTACTCTAACATAACAAACTGTGTGTAATGCTCCAGGCAGACTGGCTTTTTGTTTGTTCAGGCTCAAATCTTTTGTTCATATTCACAGAGCTGTATTCACTGCATGCGGTGACCAGACATTTCAAAACAAGAGTGCGACGCTACTCTCCTACTGTCATGCTAACGGACAAGTCTAGGTCAGGTTAACAAGAGGAGCAATTTCAGGTCATAGTTATTTTTCCTAACTGACTCAGCGCACAAAGCGGATTGGCATATCTCTCGTTTGCCTTCTGGAGAGTCATTTGTAGTCATTGCAAAAAGCAGTAAAATAAATGATACACTCATACTACACAGAAGGGGTAGACACCTTATGGTACCTTTATTTGAATGTAGATGAAACATTAACTGTAGATTTGCTGAGCTGAGTCTCGACCATTCTTCTACATGAAACTTAGTCTCTTTGAGGACTAAACCGTTATAATGAAAGTATTCACAGTTCCTTAAAGGCTTTATATGTGATTTTTCACACTTAACTGTAATATAAATCAAGTCTATCCTCTGAAAATAACTCTGTGAGTCATGACTGTCTACAATGGGTGTAACACCCGAGTCCCACTGTCTGTGATGTTTTCAGAGTCCTATCTTCACTTTGTTTACATCGTTGGGACAGCCGGCTGACTCCTCCCCTTGTGAATAAAAGTTGTTTAATTGAGGGACTAGAGAAAAGAAGAATAACATACTGTACTCACTGCTTAACTGTGTTTCTAGATCACGCTCATTTCAGGTAAATTTACATGCAGTGTTAAGATACGAGCATAATAAAGATCGCTAGCATTAGCATGCTAACACAACAATGCAGCGCGAGTTGTTTTGGTTTCATGCTGGTGCTCAAGGGCGACATCTGCTGGATCAAAGAATCATCAAAAACAAGGCTTTGGCAGTGTTATTATGTCTGCTGAATACTCTTGTGGTGTGTTCTTTAGTTTGTCTTAATCCTAAAAAAAGATCTCAGCCTTCATGTTGGGATTAAATAATTTAGTTATGAACACTTTTGTCCTATCTTGGTTACTTTTAAAGATGATCTATTCAGTAATGTTTCTCCTTCCTTTTTAAACATGTAGATTATATCATTCCTGACTGTACCTGTATATGTTGCCAGCATGTGACAGTAAAAGTTGTCTGAACAGTTACGCTCTAAGGTATTTTGTTCTGTTGAGCTTGTAAAGAAACTCTTATCTTTATCTTTATCTGGCCATGTGATGTGCAGAATAAAGCAATTTCTCGTAAAGCAAGTCATCTGAGATGAATGGCTTATTGGCTTATTATAAGCTCCTTGTAATTGTGTGCTGCCACCATGCCTTAGTCCTTTTAGTTGCAATAAGTAACAAAATGTACACTTCTGTTTTGTGTTAAATATTTGTATGTTTTCCATTAACATTGGGTTTGCTCTGGTTCTGCAATACATGGGTTTGTAAACCCATACAATCGCCCTGTAGAGTGGAAGCGTCATAGAAAGGCTTTTCATACACACCAAGTTTTGATCACACAGTCCTCGGAATTGCTTGAACTTCTTGGATATGAGGAGCTGAGCACTTCCTACTGCACTGCGAACCTTCCCCAGCACTGAAGAGAGAACGAAGATTATAACACATGAATTTGTGACAAAAAGGATTTTAGGAGTGGCATTTTGTTTCTGCTCTACTCAGAAAAGCATGCAGGGCACAAAGAGACTTACACGTGACAAAAAGGGAACAGGATTCTTTGGCTTACATCTGGAACTCTGCTTTGATACAAAACCAGCAGCTTACTGCAGGTGTCTAAACATTTGGCAATGAAATGCCAAACCAGCTCTACGGGGTGGCAGGAAGAGGATTACAGTGTATCGGACAATATTATCCTCTTTAAGGCATCTAAGCTTATATAGATACTCGGGCTGTCTGTAGGTCACTGATCACTGTGCTCCATCTAAACTAGGACAAACATCTGCCCTGACAAAAATTTTACTCCTATCTGATCACTGGATTGCAAAATGATAACAATGTGATTATAGTTTGCTGAGACCAAGCTGAGTGCAGATTTGCACAAGATTTAATTCTGACTACTTTAAAGTCGTACACATACACAAAAACATATGAACTCACTATAGTACACAGAGCGTCTGATATGAACTGAGCATCCAAAGCCGTCCCAGTGTTTGTTTGTTTGTGTGTGTGTGTGTGTGTGTGTGTGTGTGTGTGTGTGTGTGTGTGTGTGTGTGTGTGTGTGTGTGTGTGTGTGTGTGTGTGTGTGTGTGTGTACACTGCTGATGTTGAAGCTCTAATCTAATCTGGTGGTTTAATCAGTTGCAGAGTAGATTTGTGTAATTCTGGGGATTACAGGCCTGCTTGTGTGTCGTAACCCCAGGTATTACCGCCTCATCCCCTCCATGCTGTGTGTCTGATAGATTGATTGTAAGGGTCGAGACAACGCCCTTACAACAGATCTCAGTTGTAAGGTTTGTGTCTCCAGACGGCAAACAGATTGGGGCTTCAAAACTGCAGGATCTATTCAGAAGGTCTGCTCAGCACTATGACTGCACGTTTGTCTTTGTTTTGCTATTTTAGGGCCAGATCTCTTTATTACTTAATCATATCATGAGTTAATGTTTATTATGCTAACATAAGAGTCAAACTTCTCAATGTGTGCAGAGACAAATAATAGAATTAAACCTCTCTGGAGATGCTTCATCACAGCCTTACCCTCCTCTGAGATCTGGTTGTCTTTGGTCTCCTGTTCCATCTGCTGGCACCAGCCCTCCATTCGTCCAGCCTCGGCCTGCAGCAGCTTAAGGAACCAGTGTCCGTCCCTCCGACACAGGGTCCCCCCTCCTCCGCTCTGGGGAACACTGCTGTTGCTGCCGTTCCCGCTCTCCAGCCAGGGGTCTGGAGGCGGCAGAGACGAGGGGTCGAGCGCAGGGTCCAGACTTTCTGAGAAGGACGAAGAGCTACTCCGTGTGGTGGAGCGGTTTAGGATCTGTCTTGGCGGTGGAGGTGAGGTGGCGCCACCAGCAGTGTCACCATTGTCTAAAGAGTCCTGTCCGGGAGGGGAGCTCATCGATTGGCTGCCACTGTTGACCATGATTTTCTTCTCAGGGTGTTTAGCGTTGATGATATGGGTGATGATGGAGATGTCTGGTGTGTCTGAGTCTGTTTCTTGTTTTGAGGCCATGCTACTGGAGCGACTGTTCCTGAAAATAACACAGGGTTAAACTGTTATAGGTGGGCCTTCAAGTACAACAGAAATTCTTCTGCAGTTTTTGTAAACCGCTTTTGTGTGCGGATCAGTGAACGAAGAAAACAATGAATTGTTCAAGAATGATGTCAAAGTTACTGGAACAAACACACAAGTGCCAACTTTTGATTTTGAGTGTTTCCTGTTGGTCAATAAAGATACAATTACACAGGGTCGATCAGAGACTGGGCTTTGTGCTCCATGATAAGAGTGCACTCAGTCTGGACTCAGTCTAGACTCATCAGACCTCTAACTGTGAGACTCTTGTTTTTAAGTGGAAAATGAAAGAACATGCTGAATGATGTCGCGTATAGCTGGTACATTCAAAAACTAAATAGAGCATGGAGAAAAATGGAGAAATGAGTTGTACCAGAGTTTCCTGGCATTCAAAACATCACCAGCAGAGAAAAATACTAGAAGAGTCTAAATGCCTAATGCTCATGACAGTTATCTACTGGAACAACAGTTGAACAACACACAAAGAAAGGTGAACACATTCACTTTACTGTCACATTGGAAAGATCATGTAGAGGGGAAAAAGTGAGAGCGGTATGTATGGCTATAATATAAATTCCTCACGTTGTTACAAGGACAGGAAGAGGACTTACTGCCACCCGTCCTCCACCTGTACTCCGATGGACTGAAATTTGGCCAAAGGCGGGGTTTCCTCGCGTGGAACTTCCTGAATACAGTCAACCTTAAAAACAAAATCAACAATGAAACGACAACAGCAATTTATAAATGACAAAGTCAGAAACCTGACCTCAGAAACTTAAATATTTTTGCAGCCGTACAGCTGAGTGAGATTCTTTATGGATACACTGAATCAAAAAACAGAAAAATACAGAGAAAAATGAATATGTGAAATCTTTCTTTGCTTGGTTTTAAGTATGCATTACGGTTAATGGTTACCCTGAATCAGGGGTAATAATAATAATGTGCAGGGCCTGGAAAATAGAGGAAATGGCTGTTATTTCAGCACCCACATGACACAGATTTATGGTTGAGTGGGAAACACAAATACGCATTTTCTGCTTTCTATACTTCAGTATACAGCCAGCTGTAATGATAGAGCCCTGTTCACCATAATAAGACCTCTAGCTAGTAAGCACATTCTTGAGCTCAAAGTGAAACACTCATACATGGGCACACACCACAGATGTTAAAAAAATGATGTTTTTCATGTAATAGAGCTCAGCAGGAGGTATGAGGTCAACTTAAAACACTGAAAATAGATCCATCTTGTCTGCGTCAATATGTGGAAACAACACTGATTGAGCTGCATCAATCCTTTTTTTTTTACTGCCACCTACCTGTATGCCAATGGAGGACAGTTTCCGCCTGGGTACTGGCGCCACGAGAGGCTCCTCTGCTACTAAATTCCCTTTATTTGATTTCAGGCATTCATGCTGGATGACCGCGTCACTGGTCTCAGTGGAAGCGTTGGAGGTGGTGGGCGCGATTGGCTCTCTTGGTATCGCGATGGGAGTGGGAATGATGTGTGGAGGGCGGGGGATCCCCCGGGCCAAGCTGTTGGCACGGTTGCTGTCAAGGCTGTCAGAAGAGTTGCTGTGGGCGTGGCTCGACTGGCTGTTGACCTCCGACCTCCTGTCCTGCTGGTCCAGGTAGTTGTCCTGGGCCGACTCTGTGCTGCTCTGCACGGTCACTGAAATGTAGGGCTTGGAGGTTGTGCGGGGGGGCACTGGTGGAGGAGCAGACTTCTTACAGGTGGTTATGCACGTAGAGACTGTTGGAGAGAAGAGGGAAAGAAGTATTAAGGGAAACGATTAAAAGCGATTTGTAGGTATGCAAATGTTTAAGCAAATGTTTGTGGCCTCATCAGGTTTTAGAGTGAACATAAAAAATAGGTAGAAGTAACTTTTTTACAGCTTGTCCAGAGAACAATGCTGCTGATGTGATTCAGCAGGACATTACTGCAGAAAAGCTAAAAGAGCAGCAGAAGCCGAGAAGCCTCTCTTAAAGCGTAAAATCAAATCAGAGAGGAAACTGAACAAACATACTGTTCCACACAGCTGACTAAATGAAATCACACTTCAGGGCCCTCAATCATGAGACAGGGGATGAAATAAGAAGGGAAATTTCACGTCCATCTCTTGTAACAAATATGGCTGAGAAGACGAAGATGGGCATTTGAATTTCCCTCGGGATCAATAAAGTATCTATCTATCTATTTATCTGTTCCACTTCCACTCCACTACTTCCAAACCAAATTGGCCCACCGGCTTTGACTGAAATAATAAAGAGGTACATTAACCACACGGGACAGAGGCCGGAAAGGAAGCACTCAGACAAATCGGTCCAGTAAGGGAGATGATCGCAACAACTCAATGATTGGTGTTCGTGTGCTTGATGTTATATATACTGATCAGAGTCTGGCTGCTTAGTTCAATTCTTACACACACCACAGTATACACAGCTGGGAACCTTACAGTGGGAACTGTATGTGGGCTCAATTTCACCACATAATATTTGGGTCCCTTCTGTGCTCAGTCATCTGCTATCACTATCAGCAGAGCCTATCATATCTATTAACCACATTTTCTTTAAGTCTGCTTAATAGATATAGCTAAAGACTGTGAGGGAAATTGTCAGCGAGAGCAGAAAAAAGTAAGCAACAGTGAGCAAAAAGAGATGGAGCTAACAACTGTCACAAGCAGGAGCACATCACAACTGGGTGTAGTTTCCTGAACCTGCCTTTAGGGAAGTTAAAGAGTCTCTGATGCCTTCCACCTAGAGACCATATCAATCCCATAAGACTAAAAACAGAGTGTGATGCTGGACCCCTAAAACCTATAACCTGAACCAGGGATCCCTTGAACAGATGCTTTATTTGACACCACAGTGGAAAGTTGATGGAACAGCAATAGGACCTTAAAGGAGAGTAGGAGGAACAGACTGTATTTTTCATTCTGATCAAATATAGAAAACACATATTTCTGTTGAGAAAGTGACTCACCTTAAATAGATTAACAAATTCTAAATCTTTTTTAACACTGTGCTGTAAAGTCTTTGGACCACTTTTGTAAGTGGCCCATACTTTCCCTGCAAAGCTTGACCATTATGTACCGTGTGAACAATAAACCCCTGTTCCAGAAATCAATCAGATGGCATCAACTTCTTTGTAGACACCAAAACAGATTGAATTACTAAGAGAGGAAGCTACATGATGACATTTGATTAGCCTATAAATAGTGTTTTTTTGCCTCATGGGAATCCACTGAAGGTTATATTTGAAAATCTTGACAAGCCATCAAGGGTTTTTGTAAAAGCCTTGCAGAAAACATGTGAGGTCCTGATAATAAAAGCTCAGACAAAAGGGCTGTTGTTCCCTTGTAATCCACTACTTCAGGTTTTTTTCTAATGTGTATGAAACTCATGACCTCACTCTTTGTGCTGAAACTCTCTTTGAACTGTGAGTTGTCACACGGCTGTCAGTGGTCGGGAAACGGATCAGGCTTGATCCGCGGATCGATGGGAAATGTACAAACATGGTGTAGCCAATAATAATAATAAATACTACCATTAAATCCCTTTACAGAGTCTCAGTGACAACACGGCAGTACGCAGACCCGCTGTACAAATAGGAAGACATTTCAGTCTTTCAAAATACACAGGTATACGCTGCACAGACACACACACTTTCTTGATGAACGGTGTGTGTTATGTGTTCAAATGTTTTGTCGATTACATCAAACAAGTTATTCACCCTTTAAAAGGGGAGTTCAGGGTTTAGCTCACGGCTTCTATCATCAGTATTTTTGGATTTGAATCAATGTGTAGCGCCTATAGTGAAAAAATAGAGGATCTGATACATTATTAAGATTCATGGAGATGTATATTGGTTTTCAGTTGTGTTTAAATCCCCAGTTTGAGTCATGTCTCGCTGCGGAGTTGAAAAGTTATATTATAAACGTCTCCTTTTTTTTTTTGGTCGATTCTGAGGGAAAAAGGTGATCCAATCCGTAGTCAAAATCTGTAATCAATCTGAGATTTGTGATCCATAACACCAATACCTGTCAGTAAGCTATCAAGAGTTGTATCAGAAGGAATTGCTGCACTGAAACTGTCTGCAAACTCCTCTTAAACTGTGTTCACACAGCAAGCTCTAATCCTCAACTTCAACTTTTTCCTCGATACAATTTTTCCTGTTTTGCTTTTCTCTTTACTTTTTTAATGTGGCCTGTATCAGACACACATGTGATCTGAACTGACCCCCATGTGCAAAAGAGGAACAACAAAGACGTCACACTCAGCACGGTTTGAGAGAGATTATTTCATCATAGTCAGAACTGATCATCTTCAACTTCCTACAGAAGTTTCATCTTTAGCATTAAGGTAACTTTTTTGTTATTTTATCTCTGGAATTACTAAAAAAAAGCAGTCTATTGTATTGTGTTTGCAATAGTCTACTATTGGCTGATATTTCACTGAAAGATCATCCAGTCCGTTCTAGTTGGGTTTAACGAAAGCTTGAGTGAGCTTCGCATAGTTTGGGGTTACCATTCATAACTAAAAACAACAACAACTGATTCAACCAAGTAAGACTCTCACGGTTGACCATTTTCTTTAGTCGCCCTTTGCAAAATAAAGTTGGGCAAACTTCCGACAGTCTCTACTATTGAACAATGTCCAATCCTCTTATCTTTTGTAATGTTTTTACAGTTAATACCTTCAGCCTGAGCTACTGATACAGATTCCTTTTCAGGATAGAGCCATAAACTAAGTGCTGCCCTCGATCCCTCCCAGCTGAGACAAAAAAAAAAGAAAACTGCTCCCATAAGACACATTCTGTGAGGTAAAAACAGCCACATCAACCGAGATGACACAAAAACCACACCCAAATAAGATAATATCCAGGACCTTTTCTTTCATATCCAACTTATGTACATCACAAAGAGATGACTGGACTCGACTCTTTTGGACTTCTAGGCCTGAACAAATAATAAGGTGCCAATAAAAACACTGCTCCACATGTATCAAGGTAAATGTCAGTTTCTTCAACATGTCTGTCTTGATAGCTCCACATTTAATATTTATAGACAATAAACACCATGCAGGTCAAAAAGTTTACCCCTGACATCATCAAGAGAATAAAAACATGTTTCATAATGCTCAGTGAAACCCAGAGCTATCATAAACCCAGAACAAATTCTACAAGACAGAAATCCAGTCACACAAACATATTTCAAGAAATCTGTAGTTTAGCATCAGTCATAGTTGTCATAGTAACACCACAGGACTTTAACCATGGATTATCCCTCACCCTTTGACCACCATTGCCGCCTTAAGAAAAACCTGTTAAATAACAAAAGGCTGAAAAACTTTACACAACCTTAGTTACATGACTCCTAGTCCCAGTAGCCATGATGTGAATTAATCTTTTATAGAAACTTCAAATAAGCAATTAACCTTGTGGTTATATCTCTGCCCAAATCCCATTTTTTATTCATATATTTCTTGTCTTCTTTCTTTACTTTTTTATGATTTGATAAAGTCATAAAAAGTCATAAAAAGAAAAACCTGCTGAGACAGCTTTTAAATGTCCATGACTGAGAAAGACGCTGGGCTGAATAACTGATGTGGCAGTTATGTGCTTCACCAGCTTAAACCTGAATCCCAGTCTAGGACAGCTGTCACAAACTGGGTGTGAGAAAACATAATGTGTGTGTGTGTGTGTGTGTGTGTGTGTTTGGTGGCCTTCCCTGCGGTACTCCTCATATCCAACCCTGCTTCCGTCACTCTGAATAGAATTCCCCCTTGAGCCTTAATACCACAGAATCTGCTTTACCCACCAAAACAAGCCCTGAAATCATATCTGACAGCTGCTCCTGAGATTAGAAAAAGAGATAAAGCAGCAGAGCTGGACACAATAAATGGCTTATCACAAACTATATCGATGCTGTATATATGGGCTAATGGAGATGAAAAAAAAACGCAATCACCAGATGGTAAAAGTTACTTATCTATTTTTTCATTTGGAAACAGTCTTGAATTTGTACAGTTTCCCTGTAAGAGTTTGTACAGCTAATAATGAAATATGTGCACGCTGAAGTAAGATGTGAAAATGGTAAACATGAATTTACTGATCATCAAATGACTAGCAAAGACAACTACCCTGCTTGGGTATTCCCTAATCCAGCCATAAACCAATCTCTCCAGGGGCTGTGCTCATCTTGATCCAACCATTTTTTGCATTGATTTTCGAGTGGAAATTCCCCTCAATATACTTAACATAAAAGGGATCTCATTAGAAAAGGCTGCATGTGTGTTATGTTAAAAAAAAAACAATGCAATCATTATAATAGATCAGCTCCAAACTGTGCGTTGGTCAACCACACGAGTGATCAGACAGGTTTAAAGACAGGTTTCAAAGCTTAACCACAACTTTTATGTACATGGCTGAAGCTCCTGGTTTGGCCACAACCCAGATCGCAGCAGGGAAACTCGTGAGTAGTCATTAGAAAACTGCCCTGGGAACATTTTTAAAAATGAAGGTTTGAAAACAGAATTCAATGTTTTTCAGCACACAAATGAAGGTGTCGGAAATGTAATCTAGCAGATTTTTGATACCTTTTACGAGACAGTAAATAAAGCCAAAGCAGGAACTTTCCACACACAAATTATGCATGGATAGTAACTTGCACATGCTCTAAATCGCACCATTTCCTGGATATACTTATTTTACAGAACTCGGCCACACAAACATTCACAGCTGCACAAGCATAAAACACAGCCTTGAATGTAACAGTCACTGACAATAGTTCTAAAGCTGACAAAAGCTTTTTCCTAGACCTAAACATCCTCAGCAGCAGCACAGAAAAAAGATCTATGAAAATGGACATGAAGCCAGGAGCTGCTCAGCATAACTTAGTGGTTCATCTGCAGAGGGGAATTTAACAACAGAAACAAGCTGTCGCTTTATGCCAAAATGTTTGAGTGGAATCTGGAGTGGGTGCTGAGCAGTGCTGTTTTCATGCCATCTGGACAGTGGCTCTGTTGTCCACAGAAAGCCTTGGTTCAAGATGTGATTTTCAGGGCTGGGAAACAATTAGTTGCGAGAAGCTTCAGCAGTGGGAAACAATTTCCAACAAACAAATCCATGACCACTTTTTTTTTTATCAATCCTCTCAACAGAGCAAGTAATTTAGCTTACTATGTTATCACTATTCTCCAGTACACATCAGAAAGTAATGTTGTTTTTCATACCTAAATACTCACACACTGAAATCAAAAGTGGTTCCACACAACTGACTAAGTCCCACAGCCTTTGCTTTGGTAACACAGGTGGAGAAGAGTTCACCAATAAAAGTTCCCACAATGACACCACTGCACAACAAATTTTTTATACACATTAACCCTGGATTTTTCACCAGGACCTGAACATTGTATAAATACAGATACAGTACTTTCAAGTAGATGAAATATGCAGGAAAGAAAGATTTGGCTGTACTTTCTCTAAGCCTGATAAACTATTTGACCTCCAACGCTACATTTTAAGAGGTGGAACTGTTTTGATGTCACTACTCTGAGTAAGACAGTAGCAGACAAAATGTGAGTTTTGATGCTCTATTTAACATTTTACCATCGCTTGCCAAAGTTTCCTGCAGCCTGCCAGTTTACCCATTTGTATTATTTAATCAGATGACAGAAACACAAGACATAGACAAACCTTGCATGGAACTTTCACCAGTCCCTTATCAACAGATCAATTACTCTAATAACATATCACATTAAATGATTCCTACAAACAGCAAAGCTACAACACTGCACATCCTATTATAGTGAATGTGGTGTTTGAATGGGGTTTAATCTTTGCTGCAACACATAGGAAAACCCTGTGAGATTAAAGTGGAACAACCCTCAAATAATCCCATGTGGAGGCCAATTTTTCCATTCCGGCAACCAAAAAGAAAGCACTTCATCACAAAGGCATGTGAATGCATTAAACTATACAGGCAGCTAAAAGACACTTCAGTTTACTATGCTGTACCATTGTCTAGTACAAGCATCCCACTTATCTGACTCCCATGGTGGAGCATCAGAGGCATTAGCAGCACACATGGTGGAAAGTTAGATGTTTCTCTGATGTCAGCAACAGAACACTTAATACTGAACACATGGTACCTGTAATACTTAATTATTGATATATGGAAAGAGTGCAACAAAAATCGCCACTGCAGTAGGCACGATAGACCAATACATTGATCAATGACTGGGGCACCTAAGGAGTAAACTGAGAGTAAGAATATGTGCATATCTAAGTGTTCAAGAGATAGGCTATAGTTCTCAAATGAAAATCTGACATTTTCCTATTAGACTACCTCTAAATTTAGGCTTCCTACAAAGGGGGGTAGCAAAAGGTCTACCTATTAAAAGGTTATAAAGTCAATTTAAAAGGCTATTCAATATAGGAGAGAGAGAGAGAGAGAGAGAGAGAGAGAGACAGAGACAGAGACAGAGACAGAGACAGAGACAGAGAGAGAGAGAGACAGAGACAGAGAGAGAGAGAGAGAGAGAGAGAGAGAGAGGCACATTTAGGCTGACATGTTGAGTGGTTGGAGTCACGGGTTATATTTGTGTAGCAATGCTTCAAACCGTCGCACAATGTTGAATGGTACCTGTTGAAGTTACATTGCACACGCAAGCACAGTCGAGGAAGCAACAGATCGAGAAAACGTAATTGGCGTTCAAATACGTTTTTGGACTAATTTTATGTTGTCAACAATTGAAGTTAAGTGCGTCCGGTTCAACAAGAATAATCTTGATAAACTCACTCAGCTCAATTGAAATGACATTAGCTTAAACGTCACTAAATCATAAAAAAAAAAAAAACAACAACCGTGAAAATACTCACCCTTTTATCAAGTGCAGCAGTCTCTAGAATAAACACTTGGACAGCAGAAACCTCATCCACAGCCTCGATCAAAATGTGGGAATTAAGAGCCGGTCCCTACTGAGTGTTGTTGTGTCTCTGCCCGAAGGAGGCGTGTCTGCTGATGCCTTCAGGAACGCCTCGGAGACTAAAGCTACAGTTTGATTACTCCAGCTAATAATGCATTTTTGCATTTTCTTTTGTACAGGGTTTCTGTTTTAGAGTGAACACATCTCGTTAACTGTCTCATACAGCAGAATGTTTATTTTTGTGCGCGGAAAGCTAGCCTAATGTAAAAAAAAGAAAAAAAAGAAAAAAAGGCAAAATAATTAAAACCATTTTTCTTCCATCATCTTGTTTTCACAAAAAAATAAAGATTTAAAACCAACTACAATGCCACGAACAGCGATTTCAAGTTGTCAAACTAAGTGGAAAGATCGAAACACCCAAATAGAGAATCTAGACTGTGTCCTGTATAGCAAAATCAAGAAAAGAAAAAACAAGAAAAAACAAACAAAAAAAATACAACAGAATGAAGGCACCATGAGCACACTGGTCTGTTAAGACTGTGGCAAAGAGCGCCTCAAAGTGGATGCTCTATGGTACAGTTTTCACCCAAGCAGATGCTCATACACCCAAACTGTATTACTGATTTTGGGATGACGTCAGGAGTCAACAACTAGGCTACATAAAACCATCTTCATCAGTCTACTTGTCATCACACCCATTTATTCCAACTGCTGTCAAGGCAGAGGTTGGAAAACTTTGACTGGAGCTGTGTGCGTATGACTGGAAAAAAGCTTTTCTTAATAATTAACTTTTTTATTATTAATTATTATTATTAATGATTATGAGTTTTTATTATTGTTCACTTCAGTAGATTTTGAGGTGTTTAATTTATTTACATCTTTATCAGGGTTAGGATTTCAATTTATTACCTGTGTGTGCGGGTAGGATGCATGGTCTGTCTTTCCCCAAACGCTGAAGAAAAATAGCAAGCTGTTTCTCCTTTGGGGCTTTGTCCAAGCCAGTGGCTATCAGGTAAGAGGCAAACTGCTCTTTCCATGTCTTCAAATGTGTAGAAAGGATGTCTAGCATGGGCAAAAAAGGCTGCATTTGAGCTTATAGATAAAAAAAATAAAAAACACTGGAGTGTGCATGCGGAAGGACGAGCACACCCAGAACCAAGGCTATAAAAATTCAGAGTAACATTGGGAAAAATGGTCGACAAATCAAAAAGGTTTGGGGAGCATGTCACTCTGGGAAGCTAAAAAAAAAAGATCAAGATTTAATCACTAAATGAATAGCTAAAACAGGTGTGTGCTACATACACTGAGTGTGTTGTAAAAAACAGATCTAAAATTGGCTGCACAGAAAATTGAATCATGGTAAGAACCATGAACTCCATTATGCCCTTTTTAAAATAAAGTATACACAGCAAATCTATCATCTGTTTTTCAGCCAGTGACTCACCAGTGCTGGTGCTATAGGTGCGAACAGTGGGGTCAGTTGGAGGCGGTGAGCAGCCCGAGTCCATGGATGCTGTGTCGTCATCTTGGGAACATCCAGCCTGGATGGCTCGCAGGTAGCTGTGGCTGCGGGATCGGAAGCATGTTGGCATGGGCAAGTCTGGAGGCTCTGGGTTGTCCTGAGAGTGGGAACGTGAATCTCTGAACGTGGACTCTGAGCTGCGGTCCTCATAGTGACTCATATCTAGGTCCCTTAGCTTGAGGAAAGAGAGGACATGATTGATGCAATGATGTAGCAGTAGAGTAGGAAGAGAAATAGAACAGTGAAGGTAAATGTTGCTGTTAAAGCAAACATACACCTATGAGAAACAGGATGTGCTGAAATATCCTAAAATGGCATCAAAGGAGTCAACAGTTTTAATGATACAATTTGTGCCAAGTAGTTTGGAGCTCTTGTGACTGACACAAGTTTTTCTTCCATTCATGCAATGCATACTTGATGTGCTGTCTCTTTATCAGACTTTTTCCACATATTAAAACTATCATTTCAGTCAGACAACTCACATTTGTATCATTTAAAATATTTATTGCAGAAGAAGTTTGTGTTTGGTGTCTAGGCTCCGACCTAATCCCTCCTCACAGTTTTAATGCAGAAATTTATAATATCTTCAACCCCCCGAGTGGGGGGCATGTTTTGAGGCATGTGAAATATTGGGTTTATATGATTTTCTCTCGTTCAGATTGAAATTAGTCATTCAAATTTCAATGGATCGCTGCTGTGCATGTAATCTAAAAAGCAATGAATTCATATAATGCGTGCATTCATTTGAATGTGATGACCTGTCAGAACTTGCATAAAAATCCGGTTCTAATAGCCTGTGCTGCCTCTTTTGACAGGTTCATTGAAAAAGATCAGAACGGATTCGCATATAGTTGATCATCTCTCTAACCTTGTCAGTGGGAGGCTAATAGCCCTTATGTAAGTGTTAAATTACACTTTAAACTACCTATGCCACTCATTCAGCTTTTGCGTTAATAACACTAATATGAAAGACATTTGGGATTCTTTGTTCAGTGGAAGCTCATTTTTCAGGCATTCAAGCTCTATCAGTAAATATGCAAATTATACTACAGAAATGAACATTAGTAGCTACAAGCTGACAAAGGGCTCTTTGAAACCAGATGAGGATGTAAAAGTAGAACGCTTGCTAGAAGCTCAGGGATGCACATTTCTAGGAAGTACAAATGTATTTTGAATTAATTAGGAACAGGGGCAGGGACACAGAAATTCTGACTACTCACAAACTTCACATTTCATGCAATCCCTGTTTGCACTGTCCACCAAGCACTGACCTGTCCCGTGTAGCTTCGTCTGCCCAGGGTGCTGCAAGCCTGACTGAAGTCGTCATCATCCCAGGGTGGCAAAGACAAGCCTGAACCCCCGATGCAGTCTAGGTTGTCCAGGCTGCGATTGTTGGAGAGCTCTCGGAGAGATGGAAGACAGCTAAGATGAGGGGGAAGAAGACATTCAGTCGAATATGTTAAGGATATGAAAAATTAAAGTCGGAGGAAGATGTAAAAATGGTTAGCATTAATGTATGATTTCAGGGAAGCAGAGGAGAAGATTGATTAGGTGGGAAAATGAGCAAAAATTGAAAGATAGGTAAAAGGTTGGTATTCAAGTTACCCCTTTCATTTCCACTTTCATTTATGAGCCATTATATATCCAAACCTGGATTGTATTCCAATTTCTTCTCATTTTATTTGTAGCATCTTTGCATGCAAAGCTAGTGATGCCAGGTGTCGTATGTACACACCTCTCTATGCCATCATGGTGCCCGAGACAAAGAACCAAGGTGAAATCAAACAGCAGCTCTGAGGTTGTTTTATGTTCTTTGTTGGCACACAGTGATATAACATGGCAGTGAACTGCCATGCCATGGTCTATACACCCAGATGTCCCCTTATTCCATTTCAGTGGTCACAAACTCAGCCACTTTTCACCTAAAAGCACGGGGCAGATGGTATTAACAAGCTTAAAGGAGGTTGGCAGTAGTTGGCAGCAGGGCATGAATTCAGCAGTTGCAGTTGCTGTTGACTTTACAGAAATCACAGGGGTGCAGTGCATAGTTGTGAATGATCTGAAGCGAGTTAAGCATTGGGCACCACACCCCTGAGACATGGCTTACACACCTACCACTGACCTGCTCATTGACCTGCCCAGTTGGTGTAGAGAGGATACACTGTGGAGAGGAGACCACAGGGCATCCAGCTCCCCCTGCAAAAAGGAGTAATCCAGGGTTCTGCTGCTCATGCCGAGCAAGGTGGTGGGAACCGGAAAAGAGTGGGGTTGGATGGTCAGGGATTATCAGGGGGAGTAGGGTTAAACATTCAAGCACTCTTAAGGGACTCTTAAATTCCTCAACATAAACTCCTTCCATGTGAAGGTTTGTATGTCAGGTAGGCCTGTGGGCAGAATACTAAAACAGAGTCTCAGGAACAGGAACACACATAAACCTTTGTCTTTCCTAAACATAGCAACAAAACATTATATGCTTCCTTAGAATGCAGAGAGCAAGCAGACTCCCTGCAGGTCAATGCCTCACAAAATCTTATGCACCCATACGGCTACAGCCCTATCATAGCAAACTGTACAATATATCTGTTATAGAAGTCATGTTATCCTAAGCGACTCACTGTGATCAATCAGGTTGAGGGGAAAGTCAGTGCCATATATGTTCACTTCACTACTGTTGTGTTTATCATGTTAGCTAGACTAATGCTTTGTGGGTCCAACAGAAGGAAGGTGATTCACAGACGAGGTTTGGTAGTAAGGCTGGCATGTGGAAGACAACAGGGAGTCTGACACCACTTAATTCTGTGCGTGAGTAAGCCCAGCATGGGCTGTGGGCACTTGTGTGTGCATGTGTGTTGAATGCATTAGAATTTTTCTGCATTATGACAGGTTGAGCCTGGGTATGATGGTTTCCCTCCTAAATGAACAGTATAGGGTGGCCTATGTATATTTTTGATTGATTATAGGTTGGCCAATCAGAATCAGAAACATTTGAATAATTACTCATTTTAAAAAGCTCAAACTACTTTGGAACACTTCTATATGCTTCATAATAAATAATAAATAAAAATCTGTTGTCTTACTTGCGTGGGGGTAGCTGGTCGCTCAGAGAGTGCTGCGTAGCCCTGAGGTAGCTCTGGCGTCGAGCAGCGGTTTTTGGCGAGGGTTTGGGGCTTCCCTCTGAGTCGTCACTGTCTTCCATGTCTCCCATGGCCTTCACATAGCTACCACTGCGCATCCGCCGGCACGGTATTTCATTGGCACCACCAGTTCGTCCTAAAGTGCTACTCCAATCACCCTGCAGAGAGCATTCGGTAGATGAAATAAGTAAGAATAGTTGTTTTTAACAAACTTTGTAATCTAAGACAGTCTTGATGATTGGGATACTTATTTAACCCTAAAGTATTTAACCCTTACCAATGATATAGAAATGTATATGTGTCTATATTTTCATTATATAAAGCACTTAATACCCTTTAGGTGTACTCACCCTACGTCCAACCTGCAGATAGTTGCAGGTTAGTTCCTGTTGGCAGGATTTGGACTTAAGCATTGACCTGTCCAGAGTAGCTGAGCCCTTCTGGATCACGTGTCTTGGCTGCCCCATGGTCAGTGTAGACCAGGACCCTCCTTTCATATAGTCATTATCATTTATCACCAATCTCCCTGATTCACCTAGTCCACCACCTCCCCCACCCCCTGGCATAGGAAGTGCTGGATACTTCATGTCATTGCTGCTTTTGGAGGTGCTAATAGTGTTGTAGCCACTGTGGATGTATCTGCTTTGCCCTCCTTGGCTGTCCTGGCCAGTGTGACGTCCCAGAGTCATCATGGCCATGGTGTTATGGTAGCTGCTTAAATCACTGCTGTCCAAATCGTCTGAGCTCCAATAACCTGACATGTTGGAGCGTGGTCGTCGCTTGGTAGTTCCCTCTGATTTTGTACCCCGATCTTTGCTTTTGGATCTGCGATTCTGCTTCCCTCCATCATCTGTGCCGGACGAGCCTCCACCACTGCCAGTGGAACGTCCATTGACATTTCCTTTCATATTGTGGCTCTCCAGAGACTGGGACTTTGCAAAGAGCTTCTGCACAGAGTGCAGCATGTAACGAATACGACCTGGACTGTCCGTGCGCTGCTTGGCAGCTGCAACAGCAGATGTTCTATGAAACTGTAAAGTGCTGAAGCCATCACGGCCTCCAGGTAGCTGCTTATCAAACTCCAGCAGACTGGTAGGTGCCTGGTTCTTGGTCATATGGTGTGATATAGTTGCTGAGCCGCTTGTAATCATAGGTGTTCGTGCACTCAGACCTGCCATTCCCATGCCTGTTCCCATGCCCATGGACATGGAGGTGCCCATGGTGCCAGTACTTATCCCCCCAATGCTGTCTCCAGGTGGGGAGAAGTCAGACTGGTCATAGGAGTTGTAGTGAATCCGGGGAAAGGTGCTGCTGTTGGACAGCTGGTTGTTGAGGGGCAGCATGCACTCTGGTGGAAGGGAGCCTGGATTTGTTGATTGATAGAGATGAGGGTCCATTGTGCCATAGTGATCCATGGTGGGGCTCAGCAGGTAGGGACTACGCGGCAGGGTACTGGTCCTCTGATTGTACAGGGCTTCTGGATGGCCTGCTGAAGGTTCACAGGAGTCAGACAGGTGTCTGTTACGGTTGGTCCCCAACCCTTTCATGGTGGCAAGGAGGTCAAACCCTCTAGAAGACCTCCAGGCCAAGAGATGACTGATGACCTCTGAGATGATTCCTAGAAACAAAGACACAAGACACAGCAGAGGAATGAGGTTCACAACCAGTGAATTTAGTACAGTACAAAACACACAACACAGTCATCTACACTCACACTCTACAGCACCTATCAGCAAAACATGCCCACTCATGGGCGAAACCAGACAGGCAATCTGTGCAGTGAATAGTCCAGCTTTATTTGCATCCCACAGCAAACAGCTGTGTTAAAATGCTGGAAGTGAATGGAAAAACAACATGTAGAACAAAGATGAGCTGTTGCCAGTGGGCTGGGGCATACATTATGAGAAAGAGAACAAGCACTGGCAGTCATCTGTAACTTCAGACCCCTCCAAAACTATGTGGAGCCACACACGTCCCTTTTATAGTGTATTCAAATTCAGAGGAAACAAAGGAAGAACATTTATTCACATCATACAGCAAATCAAACTAAATGTTGGTGTGGACACTGAATCATGCAGTCTTTTTTAAAGAAAGAGCCCCAACAAAAAACAAAGTTGTATTTTATCAGTAGGCATATAATACCTTATACTATACCCTTCAACATATTCTACTCAATACAGGCAATGAGGCGGCACAGAAGAGGTTCTGGCAGTGATTAAATCCCTCCTGGGGGCAGCTGAACCTCCCCAAGCCCCTAACCCAGACAGTAATTAAGTAAAAAATGTATCTAAGATTTTCAAAAATTAATGTACTAGCCATCAATTTAGCCTTAATGTTACAAAACTTTATTTAAATAGTCTACAATATATTACAATATATAGTCTAATTTATATAAATTTTGTGTGAGATATTCCAGGAACGAGTACTGATCGGTAATGATCAGCCTCCTGTTGATGTTGCTGCTGACATGCAATTTGAATGTTTTTTTGTTTGTTATTGTTGTAAATCCAACTGAATGTAGCCTATGGGGACCACATAACAAACCCAACACACCTTAGTATACTTACAACAATCTATAGGCTAGGAGTATATGAGGGACAAAAAATGACTAGTATAAAGTATAAATAAATAAATAAATGAATAAATAAATAAATGTTGGGAGAAATGCATACAATAATGTATAAATAATTAAATAAATGCATCAATACATATATAAATAAATATATTCATATATGTATTTATGTATTTCTGTGTCCATGTTGTACAAGGAAAAGTAAATATATAAATTAAGTGGGCCGTCCTAACATTACTGAAGTAAGATTGATCAATTTTGAAAAACAGACAGAAGCAAATTAAAATTTCCTCTTACGACCTGGACACAGAAATAAATAGATTTGTAAATGTAAAAATACGGAAATAAATTAATAACTCAATTAATGTGGAAATGTATGCATTGATACATATATAACTGTAGAAATACGCTAATAAATGAATAAATACATGTAAAAATATATAAATAGCCTTTTTCATTAACAAAGTGTATTCATTATTTATTCATTGATGTATTGTTTTCAGCATTTATATATTTATTTATATATTTATTGAGGCATTTATTTATTTATACATTATTGTATGCATTTCTCCCAACATTTATTTATTCAATTATACTTTAGTCATTTTTTGTCCCTCATAGGAGTAACTACAGGAAGCAAATCTAACACGCGAAATAAAAACAAGTTCGCTGACTCGTGTGTGTTAAGCTAATGATAATACTGAGTGTGGGCTGCTATACGGGGACAGTGGATGCCTGCTGACCAAACACTGCTCAACAACAAGGATGCTAACTCTGTGGAGACATTTGTCTGCTACTGTGCTACAAGTGAAGGACAATGAGGACGGTTAAAAAGACGATGGACCGAGCTGCATTACTACTGTAAGTTTGCTTAAAAGATGAAAAGTAAGTTATTTCTGTTGTCTGTTTGCCACTGCTAGCAAAAACTGCTACCTAGCATAAGTTGTCTCGGTTGTGATTCGCAAATGCTTTTGGCGGTGACTATATGACTTGGGTCGCGACTGTGGTTGTGCTTGACTGCTGGTAGTTTTATTAGTTTGTTAAGAATTGCTGCACGGCATTTGTTGTGTTTGCTTTTTTATGTAATGACACCTTTTTCGGTTAAATTTACCTGATAATTGAGTATAATTTTCTATATGAATTGAATTGAAATGTATGTTGCGTCATGTGGGCGGCAGTAGTAGCTCAGGTGCCCTTGAGCAAGGCACCAAACCCCCTCCCCACCATCAGCTCAGCAGCGCCCACTGTGGGCTGCTCCGTCACTCTGACATCTCTCCATTAGTACATGTCCATAGGATCCTGTTTGTGCATGTGTGTATATTTCAGCATGACTTACAGAGTGTAAAAACAGAAATTTCCCCTTGCAGGAATCAATCTTAATCTTAATAAATCATCTGCCAAATATCTGCGATATATGTATATGTATGATATACAATCCAGCCCACACAGCGCCCCCAGTCACACTCGACGCTTCTAACTACTGCTAGTTTTGACAGAGCTGCCAAAAAAGCCTGGAGAGCCCATGCCCAGAGTATGCTCCTTTTCTGCCCACTGTTCGTTCTTTTTCCATTTCTCACACACTTTTGATGCAGATAAATAACTGCAGGGATGATCTACAAAACAACACCAACTACCACAATGTGGTTATTCAAACATTAAGCCCTGCAGGTAATGGCTTTAGTTCTAAAAGTTAAGAACGAAACAAGAATAGTCCCTATAACAGACATCAGCCTGGTCCTGAATATAAACATATATTATTTTGCTTCATGTACCCGGGAAAGAGTCATTTAAAACTATAACATAGAATCTTTGTTGACATGTTGTAGAGAAAGCTTTTTGCTTTAAATCTGGGTATTCACATTCTGAGAGCTATACACCTGCAGAAAAGTGATTGCATGTTGTAATGTACGACTGAAAGTGAGTGATGAGATGTAGTAAAGCAGCTCACACCATTATACAGAGCACAATGTGAACTGATTGTAATTTCCTGTTACACAAAAGGTACCAAAAGTACTGTGCGTTAACTCTTTTTTAATGTACTATGAGCACACTCACATGTCCTCAGGAAGTCTTCATATAATTATAAGCCTAGCTTTCATGCCACCATCATTAGCATGCTGCAGGCACAGACTCATTTAGTGTCATTAACAGAGCCTCTCTGAGTGTCATCTCTGCTGATAGGGTCAAATCCTCTAAATCCTTTTACACCACATTAGCTAACTGCCTCATATCCCGGTGTGACACGCCACTCAGCTAAGCTTAGCATACCCTCCCCAATGTATCAAAAAGCACAGCCTGAAATGACAGGGAGAGAGGGTTTATAAAGGGAGGCAGGACTGTAAACTGTACACTGCCAGTCAAAAGTTTGAGACACTTTGACACATTAATGTTGAATTTGTTTTTAAGACTGAATTGTACCTATGTTACTATGCTTTGTATTGAGGAAACATGACAGAATTCATTTAGCAAATTTGCCTTTTCATTTTCCTTTTCTACAATTTTAAGTACCAAAGTGCTGATTCATAGTTCCATAGAAACATACTCTCTTATTTTGTAGGGCCCAAATGTGCCTTCATAGTCATTTATAGCTTCAACTTTCTTTCAATAAATTCACACTGTAGAAATTACTCATTTTTTCTCAAGATATTTATGATCAAACGGCAGGTCATTGCTTGAGATTAAAACAAATTGTGAAGTTGAAGTGTGTTTATTTTAAAGGAGCAGGCATACACAGTGCTTTATTGCATTTCTAATATTCATACCATGTCCAACCTATATATTACTTAATTCAAACAAACAAACAAACAAACACATAAAACATAAGCAGATAAGACCCAAACATGAATTAAACACAATAAAAACCTGGTAAATAAGTACACAGCTAACCAACCGTTCAGAAAAAGCCAGCTGACGAGAGTGAGCTTTAAAAAGATTTAAAAGAGGACACAGAGTTCACCTGCCAGAGAGCAGGATGTTTCACTGTGTGCCCTGGTCATCGTATTTGACCAGTAGGAACCACTAGTATAGGGCCCTACCGGAGGATATCAAGTAGCGGTCAGGCTCTGACGGAGTTAGAAGATATAGGTTGGGGCCTGGCCATTTCAGGCTCTACAAACCAGCAGTACCATCTTACAATCAATTCTAAAACTCACAGCCAGGTAGCCAGTGAAGGGAAGCAAGGACAGCGGTAATGTGGTCACTTCTCTTGTTGCGCATTAAAAGCCTGGCATCAGCATTTTGAATTAATTGCAGTTGTTGGATGTTATCCTTGCTAACATCAGCTTCTACGTCTGCAGGAAGTGGAATGACCTGATTTTGTTTAATCATCTCAGTTGAGCAAAGCAGGACGGCATCACTTTAGTCACCTGGATATCAAAAGATAGGTTTGAGTCAAAAATGGTTCCTAGGTTAGGGCCTCTTTGCAAACATTGTTAGATAGGGTGGGATAGATTATTAATGTAGCTAGTACAGGGGGCCAGGGGGAGTAATAATGAGCTCTTCCGATTAGGAGTCGTTGAGCTGTAGAAACATTTTTGACATCCAGTTTTTAATTTCTGCCAGACAGGACATGATATGTGAAAGATCAGTGCCAGGTTTTAATGGGGCATGGAGTTAAGTGTCATCAGAGTTACAATAAAAGTCAATGCCGTGCCTATGCAGGATTTACCCCAGGGGTAGCATTATGTTAGTACTAACGTTAGCTACCTGGTACAGTATCACTGGTGTGTATAACAGGAATAGTTTATAGGCATTTAATAAACTGTAACTCTCAGAGAAGAGAAGCAGAAGAATTTAGGTCAAACTTCTTCCTTCATTAGCTTGTTTCTAATCAGACAAATGTATGTGGGCATCTTGTTCTGCTCATAGAGAATACTTTGCTCAGTGCAAAATGAACACAATGTCGTGGATGTGTGTGTGTGTGTGTGTGTGTGTGTGTGTGTGTGGGTTTGTGTGTGTTTTTACACCCTGCTCGGAGCGTCTGGTGGCAGCATCTCCCTGCCTTGTGCACTGGGGAGCTGCCATCTGCTCCTCCAGTGGGAAATAGG